CAGAAATCATGGTTGAGCTGCCCATGTTCATGACCAAAAGGCCACGGAAACTCCATTCGTTTGGGATTTGGGGCCTTGCAACGTTTCACTTTTTCTACACTTTCGCGTAGTGACTTTCAATAGGCCCTAGTAAACGTTAATAAGGAAAGTGCGGAAAAAGTAAAAAACCATCCCAGTCAAGGGTTGATCCGGTTGCCGAAGTTCTTCTCTTCGAAGCCCGACCGCCGCAGTTTTGGGGTCCCTAACACCCCCCTTCATACCGCGTGACATTTGTTAGCCACTTTTGGCAAACTGAAGGGAGGGCATGCGGCTCATTGACCTTTGTTTCTTGTTGGTTCCCAGCCATTCGGTTCCTTAGCTTTTTGGACTTTTAGTGTTTAGCTGGAATTTCCATTTAACCCACTGAAAGTTAAGCTTTTAGCGGGGGATCTGAGTTTGACAGCGCAAATACATCTTAAGGGATTTGGAACCTCTCGGCTCCCTTATTCTGCGTTCCCCCCTTGGCGTCCTTTCATTGAGCCCTCAAGGTCTTACTAGGCTCTTATTTGGGTTTGGGGAAAATGATGGCAGTTTTGGCCCACAGATCAGCTTTTTCATTGCTCAGCAGGCTTGAAGGGGCTTGGAATCCAGATGTTGTTCTTTGGGGCGTTTTAAAGTTGGACACTTTCTGGAAAGCCACCTACGGAATTCCGTTGCAAGGCGCAGCGGCATGTTCGTCCCTCTACTAGACAACCTCGAGTCTCCTTCAGACCCTCAACAAAAGGGTCATGACCCAAAATAGCGAAATGGGTCAAGTGGATTGAACTTAAGCTGCCCAAACAACTTCTCTCTTGGATGGCAAGCGTTTTGGGACACGGATAGGCGTCTAAGCTAAATTTGGGCTCTTCTCGGACGACAGAGAGAAGGATGATGCTGTCATGATTATGACTTAATTTAGACGTGTCTCTTTTTTAGGGGAGCCCTGAAAATTGTGGTTGTCCTTTTGGTTTCCTTTCGAACCACCGCAAAAGGGTGTCCCCAAAGAAACCACAGACCCATTTAGTTTCAAGGTACCATTCGGCCCCCATAAAAAAATAGCACATCCCACCGACTTGGAGGTAAAAGTTCAAGGGCTTGGCATCCGATATAAAAGCCAAACGGAACATAGTTGCCTGGAGTCTCCATGCCCCCTCAAAAATGGGACCATGACCCATTTCTTTATTTTGGGAAATGACCAACCATTTTGTTTCTGCGGTCAGAAGGAGACTCTAGGTGGTTATCCATAAGGGTTAAGGGTTTGGCCGGGATCCACAGAGTCCAACTCTAGAAGTCTTTCTGGGTGTGGGAGCCAAACAATCCCACTCGCAGAGCTTCGAAAGCAACAAGCCAGAACCATGGAGGATTTGTTTCCTAAATATATATATTTTTTTCAACTGTTGGACTCCTCAACTTATTTTTGTTTTTTGTTGGTGGGGGGAATGGGGAACATACAGGTGCCTCGTCCTCTTTCTTCTTCTTTTTAAAGGCATTTGTTTCCCCTCCACGGCGCGGGAGAGCTCTCGCGAGGTGGACAGCGAGCCCAGCGCGGTGATGAAGGCACTCATGGCCAAAGAGCTGCGCCAGGAGACCGGGGGGTTTGGTTTCGAGTCCAACCCAACTCGGGGCTTGGGAGGTGTGCCGTCGCAGGGAAAAACACCAAAAGTTGGGGTTGGTGTTGGGCTTCAACCCAATATCGGGGTTTGGAGTTAATGTTGACCCCGTATTAGTCTCGTATTAGTCTGTAACCCCCCCCCCCTTGAAGGTTGGAAGGTTTTGGGGGGGCAAGATTTTGGAAGGTTTTTAGCCTTGACCCCCTAAATAATCTGGAATTGAGTTTCCATTTGATTTAGTATTGCTGGAGCTTCCTTTTGAGATCTGGAATTGAGTTTCCATTTGATTTAGTATTGCTGGAGCTTCCTTTTGAGATCTGGAATTGAGTTTCCCTTTGAATTAGTATTGCTGGAGCTTCCTTTTGAGATCTGGAATTGAGTTTCCCTTTGATTTAGAATTTCTGGAGCTTCCTTTTGAGATCTGGAACTGAGTTTCCATTTGATTTAGTATTGCTGAAGCTTCCTTTTGAGATCTGGAATTGAGTTTCCCTTTGATTTGGTATTGCTGGAGCTTCCTTTTGAGATCTGGAATTGAGTTTGCATTTGATTTAATATTGCTGGGGCTTCCATTTGAGATCTGGAATTGAGTTTCCATTTGATTTAGTATTGCTGGAGCTTCCTTTGTGGGGTGGGGCCGATGGACCGCACTAATTAGGGGGGGATTATGAATTGGGGGGTGTTCGGTGCTCTTTGAAACCTTCTAAACTTGATTTGCTTAGTAAAGAATTTAATAAGAACTCGACCATCTGAGAACACTTTTTGTTTTGTGGTTTGGGCAGGCCCAAAAGTATCCACCGAGCTTCGAGATGAGAGTAGGAGGTGGAGATGAGAGCCCTAAGCAAGGCAGCAGCATGAAGAGAAAGCCCATTTGAGACAAAGCACCTTTTCAGCACACCATTCAGAGAAAGCATGGCAAGCAGCATGAGTCGATTCAACATCAGCAGCATCAGCTAGCACCAAACAACAGTTTACATTGTAATGAGCTCAAGAAGCAGTGGAGAAAATGAGATAGCAGCAGCCATCTGGGGGAGGGACCGGTCTAATTGGGGGGGCGTTGTTTTGGATTTTTTTTTTTGAGGGCGGGTTTTCTGAGATATGAATTGTTTAGTATTGGGGGGGTCCACCCGGACCGGATTAATAGGGGGGGGATTACTAATACACTGCCAACATTAAAGTGGAAGGGATTCTCATAGGGGGGTTTGGAGTTCTCGTGGAAGGGATTCTCATAGGGGGGGTTGGAGTTCTCGTGGAAGGGATTCTTAAAATTTAGGTTTTGGGGTGGAATGGACCGTTTGGGGATTCACGAAGGAAGCCGAATTGGGGATGGTGCTTTTCGGGGCCAACCTGACCAGGAGACTGGTTTTGGGTTTCGGCGGGTCCAACCTAACAAGGGGTTGGGAGTTCTCGTCGACGGGAAAACACCAAAAATATGCGGTTCTGGTTGAATCAACCGTTTGGGGATTCCGGATTCTCCGATTGGGGTTTTCGTTTGGGGAAGGGATTCTTGAATGAACCGTTTGGGGATTCCGGAATAAAGGAAGCCAAATTGTGGATGTTTCTTTTGGGTTAAGGGGGAAGGAGGAATCCAAAAACGAAGCGCACAGCCTTGAGAAATGGACTGACCCTTCTAATGTTGACCCAGGATCTAAGTAGAGCCCGTCCCATTGTTAGGGGGGTGTTCCAACTCCAAAAGTGGTCTGAATCCAACCACTAAAAGGAATTGGACACACCCCCATCAAAATCAACCAGGGGTTCTGCTTTATCCGGGGTTAACATTAGTGGGTAACAGGAACCTTGGAAAGCCACTAGAGTGGTACCTGGACTCTCAAAAGGAGTTGGACACCCCCCCATCAAAATCAACCAGGGGGTTCTGAAAATCCGGGGTTAGCATTAGAAACTTGTTGTAGGACATCCAGGTCGTCTCCTGGGGACTGGGTTCATTCCCTCATTTCTCTACTCACCAGCAAGAAACCCGGGGAGGAGTCGGAAAGCCACAGAGAGAGGCGACCATTAGTTCTTTTGTTTGGTTTTGTTTGGGGGGGGCCTTCTTTTTTTTTAAGTGTTTTGACACAGGAGCTCCAAGAACAATGGTTTGCTTTTGAGCTCGCTTGAACGAATGCCCTTTCAGATGTGCCACAGCAACCCCTAAGGCACTCGGAGCTTCAAGGTCAAGCTTTTCGGACCCGACTAAAACTGGCTGGACCGGAAAGAACTGCCCAGAATAAAGTTGGAAGTCGCCAATTCCGAAAATTTGGGGCAGGCATCGCCTTTAACCTCAGCTCAAGGTGCCCTCAACAAAAATGCCCAAGTGTTCAAAGGGGAAATTGTTTGTTTGTTGAATGAAGCGACGTCAGTCTCCCTGAGTTGGTCATGAGTCGTGTTCAACAAGGAATGCAACAATGGTTGGAAACACGAACACTATTTCCTGGGGCCCGGAATGACCGATTCTTTCTGTTGGTCAATCAAGCCACCTTCTCCCGTGAAGCACATGTTTGTTCATCACACCTGGTTGTTAGGGAAACCACCAACAATAATTTTGGATGCGCCATTTGTGGATTTTCCGGTTCTTCCCCCCCGTTGGTTCTCTTTTAGTAGTCTTTTAGTAAAGCGATTGATCCACAGATTCGCCATATCCAAACATTCTCTGGACAATGCGATTTCTTCTTGTTGGAGCAGGTTGCTTCGTTTTGCCTAAGCTAGGCCCAGGCAAAACGCCTCAAGAAGAGTTGGGGGATTCGTGATGTTCTTCCATTTGCTATAGCTACTCTTTATTTTCCCCTGTTTGTTTTAAAGAGAATCTATCACCACTGGACATATGTTTATTTGTTCCTCGGGAATTAAGCAACTGGAGGCTTTTAGTTTTGGCGTCGTAACTTTGTTGCAAAGGGTTTCCTGCGTGACCTTTTGTCAATGTACCGCGAAAATGTGGTTGGATTGGGGATTCGGGATTTGAACCTCTGGTTCTCCCAGAGGGTATGGAAAACCGCCCCGAATGTCAATGTGGGCAACGGCCCGGATGAATCAAGCCCAGTTTATAAAAGTTCTGATTCCCCGCAAAACCCAGGGACATCCCCCCATCAATGCACCTGAGGTTCATGTATTTCGGGGTATAAAATTTTGGACCCGGAAAACTCGAGCTTAAAAATTGGTTACCCCAAAGTCATGGTTGGTGAATTCCCTTCTTGATAGATATGGCCATGGTTCAAAACCAATGGGATCCCATTTTGGGGTAGGTGAATTCACCACCCATTTTAGAACCTATTTTAGTGGGGATTGGGATGTTCACTGGGGGTACGGGGTTTTGACCCATGGCCATATTTTGCTCCAGTGCAGGCAGCGGGTTGCGATCCGAACGAAGCGAGTCCGCGTCAGATGCAGCTGGACCGCGACGTGCTGGTCTCGGCGCACGAGAGCCTTCTGCAGGAGGTGACCTCTCTACGGGAGGCGAGTTGAATTGCGAAGGGTTGCTGCCCGAAAAAACCCACCTTTTGAGCGTGTGGTTTACCCCAAAAAATGGTTCCTGGACCCCCCCAAAAAAAGCAACTCCAATTGGAATTGGACTATTCCCTGCCCTAAACTTATGGTTGGTGAATCAACTCTCCTTTTCATGGATAGTTCTTTCGGGTCCAGGCAGCCGTTTTTAGTCAAGGCTCCCAGAGATTGTGCCAAAGACTTTAAGCGGCAACTGAGCTACTGCATCAAGTTCCAAGTTTGTGCTTTGACCATGGAACAAATCAGAAGATTTCTTCCAGGGAACGCCGAAGGGAAACCCTTGTTCCTGTGTCAACATACTGTGGATGGTTGCGAAATCCATTTCGCACCACCTAACAATCCCAACATAATGATATGATTCCACTGTAAATACCAACAAGAAATGGCTTCAACCATGGTTTCAATCTGGTGCGAATTGAATTTTGTCCATCCACATGTGAAAATAGAGGGACCTCTCAGAAATGGTCTCCTTGTGGTTTCCCTCTTGGGTGTTGGACCCATTCAGTTGGAGAGGGTTCCGAGTTACTTGGCCGCCAATGGCCATCTCTAAGTCCGCTGGGATTTTCCCGACATTGACTAGATTTCCCAGTAGTGCCCTTTCTCACCCATTGTTGGGGGAGGGTTCCCCTAAATAGACTACAGAAAAAGGGTACCCTTATTCTAACCACTCTACTGGAGGACCTAGTTGACCACTTGCTACATGCGGACATCAATGGCACCATGGTCGACCAGAGGACACTCTCGACCATGGAATGTCAACACTTCTTAGATCCACTGCACAATCAAACCGCGGGTAAGTGAAGGTTATGGACAGTCCCAACTATAAAATGGATGCGGATAGCCGCCTTCCTAATTATTGACATGGTTCTGGGTAGATCATGTTGATACCAGGTATTGATTGTGACTCTCCTGTTGTCCCCCCCGGAGTGTATACCTGGGCAGATTATCAATCATGCAGGGGTCAACATTGGGCTGTTCGGGTCAGTTAATCTGTGAGGGCAGCAAGCCACCTGGAGTTAGTAAGTTGTTGGCAACCTAGGTTACAACCCACTTGCAAGCCCCTCAGTGGAGTTCAGCGTGCTAATAGTTATTAGTGGCTTATACCCCAGGTCCGCATTTGCCAACACATCGCGCTGTTGGTTTGCTGTTGTTCGGTCAAAGGCCGAATGACCCCCCGCATGGCCAGGTGCCAGGGTGGCCTGAAAGGAACCGAATGGGGATAGGATAGGTACCTTTCAACACTTGTTGGTATCTTGATTTGTCGTTTGGATTGATGGCTTGGGGAGGTTGAACCCAGGTTCTTGCACAGTACAAAAGGGAAACCACCCCCTGATCTACAAACCAACAATACCGAGCCTTAAGTGCTTTTTGGTGGTTTGATTCAGTGGTTTGAACGCTAGGACTGCCTTCCCCAAGTGTCAAATGGAGGTTCGAATGTTCAGTTTCCACCAATCCAAACCACGAATTGCCCCGCGGTTTAAACCGCCATTAAAACACGCGGTTAGCATAACCCAAGGAGTCTCATCCAAATTGGGTCCCTGCCATTCTTTTCATGGTTGAACCCTAAGACCCTATGAATGAAATGGCTGAGGGTCAAAACCCTGGTACCCCCCACCAGATTCCCTGCTAACATGGACCAAACAAATGGGGGGGATTACCAAAACAAGGTATTCTAGGTCCTCCAGTAGTGCCCTTTGAGCCTTTTTTGGGGTAGGGTTCCCCTAAATAGACTACAGAAAAAGGGTACCCTTATTCCAACCTCACTACTGGAGGACCTAGTTGACCACTTGCTACATGCGGACACTTGCGACCATGGAATGTCGACGCTTCTTAGATCCACTGCACAATCAAACTGCGGGTAAGTGAAGGTTAGGGACAGTCCCAACTACAAATGGATCAGACTGATAGAAGTTATCAAGAATCCCACCTTCCTCGCTGCCCTCAGGCTGCGGCCACATCTTCTCGCCAGCAGGAGGCGGCAATTTCGCGCGGAGCGAGCGATCGAAGTCGAGTTGCGATCGAAGGGTGTGCAGCTTCCAACTTAATGTGAACCCCGGATTAAGCAGAACCCCTGGCTGATTTTGATCGGGGGGTGTCACCTTTTAGTGGGGAGCCATCACTTTTGGAAGGAACACCCCCCCAAAAAATGGGACGGGTTGATTAATGCTGGGTCAACATTAAGTCAAACTGTGGCTCAATACGTAGGATCCCCCAAATGGCACCTGGGTAATATATGGAAAGAAAGACTAAAACCTGCGCAACCCCAGCTGTTTAATTTTGAGCCACACAGGCCACACCCATATAAGTGGGTAAACTAGTAGAGTGGGGTTGTGGGGTACTATCAAGCCAAACTCACAAACTACCTCAACTTTGGGATAATGATACGTTTGATTATTTGATCCCCTTACCTGGCGACTCCATGGGTTCATAGCCACTTAGTTAGACTTAGTTCCCTAAGTGAGGTTAATCCAGTGGCGCATGACGGGATTGATTCGAGCCAAGCAGTATAAGCTTTAAAGGGTATTTAGAAGACTGCCCCACTAGGTGAAGTGCAGAATTTCCCTGATTAACAAGTTACTACCCCGGGGTAAACCAAGTACCATTTGATGTAGAGGCTATATGGTGGTTGTATTTCCCATGAGCCTCGTCTTGGTTCTGGACACCGGGGTCGCGGAAGTTACAGTGTGAACGTAGATCACGCAACGCCTGTGGCCCATGTTTGTCGGGATGTTGTTGATTGTCCTTCATCTTGGCTCCTATCCTTGGCAGCAAACTCAATGACTTAACTGGGGATACTGTCCTTGGTGGCTAAACGGGGACAGGCCGACAATTCGCTTCTCCGAAGGCAACCAACCTGCAGTGTGCTCAACTTGAGGAGCAGCTGTGCCTTGGCGTATCCGAAAATTGCCCACTGGCTCGGGTCTTCAACCCGCGTAGCGGTTGTGGATGGTCGCAGAATCCATGTCGCACCACAACATGAAACCATGGTTGAAACCATTGCTAGTTGGTATTGACAGGGAATCATTCCAGGATTTCTGAGGTGGTGAAGGATGTCGTCAAAGTACAACGGCTATAGCGGTTGTAAGTCAACCGACTGGGACTTACAGAGTTGCTGGACTGACACTTTCTGCGAAGACAATCACTTTAGTAGCAAGCAATCATGTTGCACTTTTTGGGCCAATCAACTCAGGAAGTGAGACTGGTATAGTCTCAGTTGTTCAAAGCCGACCTTTTGACCTTTTGGTTTTCCAATTTTGCTCATATTTAGTCATGGCCCCAACAGGTTAACCTTTTAGTTCCAGGTCCTTTGGGCAGTTCTTGAAGGGTAGATCCCTCGATTAAGCTTCGGTGCTCACTATAAAACACCTCCCAAAAAACATTACCAACTCCCAAACGAGACACCCCCAAAATTTCTCAGATTAGCACCCAGCAGCACATTGATCACCGTGCGTTTGCAAAATGAGACCCTCGCAAGATACACTAAGGCCTCATGATAAAAAAAAACAACTCACTCCCTGAGTTTATGGACTTTAGTCACTTTTGGGAAGACCGTTGGAGTGGCAAACAATTCAGACATTTCTAACCAATCCACTCAGGAAGTGACATCATTTGATCCCACCTCCCCCTTGCCTGGACGAATCTCAGATCAGAGCGCCTGTTTACGTTGCCTTCTTGGTCGCTTTTTTGGCATTCCCTGCTTCCTCCTGGGAATTTGTTGAGAAATCTGGGTTTCTCCTGAAATTTACCTTCGTGGTCTGGAGTTGACGTTATAAGTTATACCCAACCACTGTGTATTTCGAGTGCGGGCTCACCATGCACAGGCACGACGCGCCTGGTGCGTGCTTCTTTCTACCCGTAGCTCTCAAGTAAGCGCCGAAGTAGCCTTTGACCCATCCTTTGAACCGACCTTCTGAATTTCCCTGATGAGGGTTACCGCTTCAGGCAACCAACGCTGTGTCTACCTGGGGTCTCCTTCAGACCTTGTGAAAAATAGGTCCATGACCCCTTTACATTGGGTAATGACCACCCATGTTTGATTCGGGTCAGTCTCGGAGACTCCAGGCATGCAAGCAAATCCGCGAGTCTCGCACCACCTACAAGAAACCCAGCGGAATGATGAGATTCCCAAAGTAAATATACCTGCAGTCTCCGTGACCCTTCAAAATGGGTCCAAGATCCTTGTATTTCGGGCAACGAGACCTTTTTTAAGGGTCAGCAGGAGACTCCAGGTACACACCAATCTTACTTCTCAAAAACACAAAACTTTTCGTAACTTTTTGGGGGGAACATGGGCTATGTCTGTAAAAGATGAGAGAACTTCCACAGGTTGCTTGGAGTTTTAAGGGGTAAGAGTGTCATCCCGTACCCGGCAAGAATCACTCCAGGACCCGATGTTTTCTCGTGTTTTCTCGTGTTTTCTCGTCGTTTGCCTGGACTCACTGGCCGTTTCCGGCGAGAACTGAGCCGAGGCGAGAGGCGCAGAGGCCTTCGGGAGGGCCCAGCCCCGGTTTTTGGACTCTGTTTTAAAGGGACACTTTTTAGGGGAAACCACCTGGAGCCTCAAGATTCCAACTTGATTTTGGGTTGCCCTAAATTAGGGGGGTGATGTCCTTTTTCTTTTGGGTTTGAGGGTCCAGGCACCCCTTTTTGAAGGTTTCCCTGCTTTTGAGACAAGCGCAGATGTTGCAAATAGCATTTGGGGTGGTGGTTTTGGTGTGGGGATTCGTGGGGTTTGTCGCATTTTGGGGGTGGTTGATCATTCGTCGTGCAGTTTGTTGTGTTGTAGTGGCAGCTGCGGACAAACATCTTCTGACTTGGAGTTGGTAAAATAGTCATCACCTCCTGAACAGTGAATTCGGACAAGCATTGCAAGGGCTTATATCCAGCCCCATAGGGCCTTGCCCCACATAAAGAGACGCACGAAAGCCTCATAAATAACAAAACAATGCAGAGAGGAGTCACTTTACGCTTTCTGTCTGGAAATGTACTGACCCCTGTAAGAAACAGGGGCAAGAGGTAGACTTTGGTCTAGGCGGTCGGATTGGTTTGGGGAATTGAAGATTTGGTTCTCGTGGCGAAAAGGGTTCCCCTTTCGACTGATTAGTATTGGTGCCTGGGTCGAAAGGCAGCCAAAGGAGGTTTGGGTTGCAAGGGAGCCCGTGACAAAACGCATGCCTTTTTCTTCAGACACTCTGTAAAATGGATGGTGAAACAAACCCCATCAACCTCCCGTGGCAAGGTCAAACACTGCCACTCACATGTAGCCAGATTGGGGCCTGGTGACAGCCTTAGCAACGATGGGAGGGTACCAATCATCATACTGTGGAATCTGTGGATGTGTTTTTGACATCCGTTCACACCACCTAAGCAACTACCTGAAGTATCCTTCTGACCCTTTCTAGGTCCCCCAGTAGTGCCCGTTTACACTCTTTTGGGGGAGGGTTCCCCTACTAAATTGACTACCGGAAAAAAAAAAGTACTCTTATTCTAACCTCTCTACTGCAGGACCGAGCTTCAAAATGGGCTCATAACACATTTCTTTATCTTGGGTAATGACCAACCATTTCTTAAGGGTGAGAGGGAGACTCCAAGTATGTAATTCGATTATCCCCCACCCCTTGCCCAAAGCACCAGCTCAGACGTGCATCCGCTTTTCCTGTGCCCCATATCGGTTGAAAGGTATGTGGCATCCAAGCCGTCCCCGTTGGCCGATGTCCAGCTGAGCCTCAGGGGCCAAAGCCTTTTGGAGCACTGGATAAGAAGCGGAGCGTCTGAGCTGGTGCTTTGGGCCTTTGAAGGAAAGGGGTTCTTAGAAGAACTCGGATCGTATAGATTCTACCTATGTTAAGGCGAGCTCACTTGGGGGGGAGTGAACGAGCTCACCATGGTGAAGATCCTTTAGGGATCCCTGAATTCAGGTTTGTAAAGTTTGCAGATCGGTTTGTTCCACCGAGCAGTTGAGAGGGTATTCCCCATGAGAGATATAGAGCCAGACGGGGCAGAAGCTGAACACATGAGGGCACCATAGGGCACCCCAGCGGAAATGGCCCTCTGTGGATCCTAGGAAATGGGCTTGAGGAAGACCCAGTTCGTCCCAACCCCCAGCAACCGCCCCGGTGTGCGAGTTTCCTGGCCGCATCAGAAAGGATTTTCCCATACCCAGAGGCTCTGCGTTCAATGGAAGACCCGACCCCTCCATTAGACACCCCGGAGGTGGTGTCTCAAAACCAGGTTATTTGAAGGCCCTAAATCAATCGGGAGCCTCTGGGTAGGGGGAAAGGGATCTCAGCCGGGCTTTTTGGGGCTCAGGATCGCCACCGATGCCACTGATGCCTTCTCAGAGCTGCGGGAGGCAGATTGAGCAGTGTTTGCTTCTTGGGCGGAGATTGGGTGCTATGGAGTTGGCAAGCTCGAAAGTGGCCACTTTGGGGGGCAGATGAAAGTTCCGACCTAGAGTCTTCATGACCCTCAACAGATGGGTCCATGACCCCTACCGCCGGTGGCCTCCGTCCCGGGGACCCACTTGCCACGCCCGGCACCCGGCGTCTCTTCGCTCTTTCGCAGGCCAGGGACTCGATGGAGGAGCACTTCCTCCGCGAGGAGCGACCCGGTTTGGTGTGCACCTTTCCCCGGGTCTTTTCGGGGCGAAGAAACGGGGGGGGTGGTGTTTTTTTGGTTTGTACCTGAACCCGACAGAAATTCCAGCTTAAATTTGGGTTGTTGCCCTAAATTTATGGGGTGATGTCCCTTCTTTAATGGGTAGTTTGAGGGTGCAGGGAGCCTTTTTGGTGGGTGTCAAAGGGAAACCAACAGGGAACCACCCGTTTTGGGCACCTGGACCATCAAACTACCCAGAAAAAATGGATTTCACTAGTTCCAGAATGTGTTTTGTGGGTTTGAAGTTTGATAGCGGACTTTGGGTGGGCATGGTTTCGAAAGCCCAGTAGAATCCTAAAGAGCGAGAATGCCGGTTGTCGGGGGAGGGGAGATATGATCGTAAGCGAAGATGTACCTGGACCCTCACGCTTTTCTTAAAAATGGGACATTACCCCAAAGTTATGGGGTAAATTCCCTTTTTATGGGTAGTTTGAGGTTCCAGGTAGTTGTTTTGCTTTTGTTTGAGCTTCTTCGAGACTGAGCGCTCCGAAAGTGCCACAGCACCGCTCAAGCGCTGGGAGCGCAAATCGGATGGAGGCATTTCGTCTTTGCAGGTTAGACTGTAGCGAGCTCTGGGGGTAAACCCAGCTTACCCATGAAGAAGCTCCTTGACAATTGCCAGTTGTGGGAATGTTGGCCCAATATCAATCAACCCCAGTTTATTAATAGGGGGGATGATTCACCAAGCCCAGGGACACTTGATTAATATGGGCCCGGGTCAATTAGTTGTCCATATTTGTTTGATTGCTGTAGCCAGTGATTGCAGTTGCCCTGGGCCGATGAGGCTTCCCCCCTTCGGAACGCAGCAGGCCGATGAGCATCGCTCTCTTCTGCAGGTGCGGACGCCAGAGAGGGACAAGTGAGGCACCAAAAGCAACATATATACTCCAAAATATAGTATCATACGTCAGGATGGGCTAGATAGCATTATTATTGGAGTATCCTAAATAGATGTGCGCTGAGTTGCCACTATAGCAGGTAATCAGGTCTTTCTGCCTCTAGTTTGTGCATCTTGACACCAAGCTGCTGAGCTTTCTTTGGTTGCGTTTTTGAACCTGTCTTGGTGATGTTTTTCGGTTGTCGGTTTCTGTTTGACTTGGTTTCCCCAGGAAAGTACAACCTGGACCCTCAAGCTACCCACAAAAAAGGGACTTCACCCCATTGAGGGTCCAGGAACTTATTTGACTGAGGTGTGCTTCATCCCTTCTGTGAGCTCCAGTCCCATCCGGGCTCTGGGGCATGGTCCCATCATTTCAGGTTCCGGTCTCGGTTGGGCCCCTTCAGGGATTTTGCTGTTTCGGCTGCGTCCCTTTGTGCTTTGAACTGTTTTCTGCATTGTCCTTGCTTTCCGTGTGCTTTGCTTTGATTGCTCTTTGCCCTCCTACCCCCTACATTTCCTCTCTTTTCTGTTCAAACAAGCCAAAACCCAAAAGCCACGCTCATACCAAAAGGCCCTGTCCGCTGCCATTGGAAGAAGGGTACCTGGAGTGACCCTTCAAACACTGAGTCATGACCTAAAATCAACATCAGTTATCTTAAGAGCATTCAATTCAATAACGATATATCATCAGGGACCACGCAAAGCACACACAGACCAAGACCCCTCCCTCAGAGCCTCCTTCTATCCGAAATGTTGCCTCCTCGGATGTCCGCTGCCATTGGAAAAAGGGTACGTACCTGGAGTGGTAAAGACCCCTCAAGCAATGGGTCACCTGACATTTTAGAACAGCAACCGCTCTTGGGTTTCTATCTCTAGGCCAGATGGAGATAAGTTCGCCCCTCCGGCTCGCTGAAAAACCGCCTGGACCCCTCCTGGAACCCTGATGGACAGCGCAAATCCCGACCCCGACTCACTCTAGGTTTTCCAATACTGCCCTTTCTCACCGACTTCTTTGGTTGGGAGGGTTCCCCTACTAAAATAGACTGCAGATAAAAATAGGGTACCCTGATTCTAACCTCTCTACTGGAGGAGCTAGCACTTGTTGTGCCGTTTTTCCGTTGCGGCTGAAAAAACGGAGGCCAGCGCCCAGCGTGTGGCAGCTCTCTTGGAGCAGCAGGCGGAGATCGGCGTCTCGGAGATTTTTCGACCAATTAAAAGGTCCCGGACGGGGCACTTTGGCGTACCTGGAGCCTGAAACTACCTGGAGTCTTCTTCTGACCCTTTAAAAGTTATTGGGTCAATGACCCCATTATTTTGGGTCATGACCCAACCATTGTTTAAGGGTCATGGAGTCATGGAAACTCCAAGTACCCATGAAAAAGGGACATCACCCCACAAGGTTGGGGGAACAAACATGTTTAGATAAATTTTGAGGGTGCAGGTGGTCGTTATTTTGGGGGGACTCCCAAATTTAAAATGTTTTGAGTTGCCAAGTTTGGAGGGAAGATGTTGGCAGGTGATGTTTTTGTTTGGCGCAAAGACCAGTGCAGGTCAAGGGGGGTGAGTGCTCACCAGTGTCCATGCAAGTTGTAAAACTAGCTGCGGTTTCTTTGGTGCACTTTGCTTGGATGTTAGGACTTCAACTTTTGGTCAACTAATGGGTTTCCACTAAATCACTAAAAGTTAAACTTTTAGCAGAGGAGCAGAACGCAACCGAGGTTTGGAGGGGTGCAACATGCTCGAAGTTGACTTTCCAGGGCTTGTGTTTTGAAGGGGCGCTTGGCCGTCAGGCCAAGGTGGATCGCTCCAACCTGGAGGTTGCTGCAGAGGCGGTGCGCTGGCAGGCATGGTGCGGCTGATGGGCTGATCGATTTGTCGCATGGAGCTTGCCTCCCGGGCTATTTTTTCCAAAATAAGCCAAAGGCAGTTCGGACCCAGAACTCGAATAAGTTGAACTTTTAGATTCCGGGGTCGTGGCTCAGTCAGACGGGGAATGGGGTCCTGGTCAGTTTCCAAACCGTATAATGTTTGCACCTCGTTGAACTTTGATATATGGCTCAGCGGTCAAGTAAGATAAGGAACCCTTCAAATAGTATAGCAGACAACTCCTCCCACGAAAGACTGGCTGTTTCTCAACATGATGAACAACGCCTAGGGGTAGAATGTTTGTTTGTTTCCCTGCCATATCATTTTTTCACTCAAGAGGGGCTCCCAGATTTTTGGAGCTCCCCCACTTTATATTTTTAAGATGTTACTTTGCTCTTGGGCAAGCACGTCTGGAAAAGGAAATCAGTGCTGCTCATACCACGACATCCAAAAGCTTGCCGGATCAAACACTTTACTGGTGGACTTCGTACATTATGGGCAGGCCATTTTAGTGGTAAACAGCAAGTTAGATGTTTTGCTTCCAATCCACTCCGGAAGTGAGATACACAGTTCCACTTCATTTACCTGAACCCTCAGAGTTCCAACTTACAAATGGGTTATTGCCCCAACATTATGGGTTGAGTTCCCATTTTTATGGGTAGTTCTTTCGGGTTCAGATTTGTATATGTATATATATATATATTGTACACTGCTTCGCCGTAGCGATATGGGAGGAGGGCCATATCCCTCGCACTCGCCAGGAAGGCCAGTCCAAGGCAGCCCGTAAGTTGGAGGACTGCTCTTCGCCTTTTTCTTCTCAAATCAAAGCCGAGCTTTTATTTGAACCCCTGCTCCCAAAAAGGGACAATCACAAGGTTGAAATCAGCTTTCCTCTACTTGGTGGGCAAATGGCAAAGTTTGGTGGTTCAGGAGTGGTTCCCGTTTATTGGTGGTGCAGTGCTCCTCAAGAATCCTTTTTGTCAGGTAACCCCGAGTTGGTTTGGTTGTTTTGGGGATTTGGATTGAACCGGTTCCTGGCCTGCTTCCCGACAATTGGTGGCTTGGAGCCGAATCGGTGGTTGGTGTTTCAGTGGTTTCCCATTTACCCTCTACAAGCACCAGGGGTTTCAAATCCCAAACCAATTAAGGAAAGCTGATTTTGACCTTGTGGTTGTCCAACTTTTGGGTCCACTTTTGGTAAAGGCCCTAAAGCCCTGGTGTCCCCCGGCAGTTTGGAGTTCAGCGTTGTGACTCCTGGTAGCTGGGAGGACATCGCGGGAGAATGGACCCTCAAAGTTCCAACCTAGACATGGGCTATTGCCCAATTCCGACTTGTTTCTACTGTGGATGGACGAAGAAACCATGGTTGCAACCATTGTTTGTATTTACGAGTATTTACGTTGGGAACCATTGATCATTCCCTTGGGTTTCTGAGTTTGGTGGTGAAATCGAGACTCGCGAAGCCGTCCACAGTACCCTAGGAGCCCAGGACCTCATATATGAAGGTCTCAGCCAAAGCCTCTAATTTCAGGGTCTCGGGGTCGGGACCTTAAAATATAGGGTCTCAGAAAATTGGGAAGAGTTGACAGCGGCATGCCCCACGAGGACGTGTTTTTTTTCCTGGCTTTGTCAGGCCCAAATGTCGCAGACAACTGTGATCAGGCAGCCCGTACGTGAAGATCTCGAATGGGCTTAATCCTAGGAACAACTGACACATTGTATTGCACACAAGCAAGCTATGCAGTTCATGCAAGTTTGCACTAGGTTCAGCTCTGTGCATTTGTCCTCGCACCTGTTCAGGCATTGTATTGGAATGTTATGATCTGAGTTACGTGGCTTAAGGCATTTTAACTCGTTTTAACGCATTTTAACCCGTTTTAACGCGTTTTAACGCGATTTAACTCGAGGCCTCGTTATATAGGCCTCGGGGGGTTCATTTTAACGCATTTTAACGCGCTTTAAACTTGGCCTGCGCTCCTATCGAAAAAGCCATTCTTCAGCCCAGGAAATGTTGTTGTCTTCGTTTTTGCTTTGGCTGGCATCCATCAGTGTTGCAGTGGGAAACTTGTCTGGAAAGTGGTTTAGTGTCAAGCCTGGCTGTCTTCATGGGGAAAAGTACAAAGTCTGGTTTGCCAATCTTGCGGTTTTGCATGATCAACAAATACTCATATCTCATTCTTTGCTCTGAACACAGGCAGGGAGAGGGCACCTGACCTACCAGTGGATCCCTCAACCTGAGGCCTTTATATTCAGGCCTTGGCCCCCTCTGAGCTATCTAATTCCGAGACCTTATTTTTCAAGGTCTTGTCTAGAGGTGCCTCCCAGCGCAGGTCTCGAACAGAAAGCCTTCATATATGAGGTCTCGGGGCTCCTAGGGGTAGCTAAACCATCCACAGAAGCAACCATCCAACGAGAAGCCATCCAATTTTTTGGGGGTCCCTGAAGAAAACATATCCCCTGAGGACAACGCATCCAACATTCCCTTGCAAATGGGTGATTGCAACCCAACATGATGGAGTGAAAGTCCTTTTTCCTGGCGTAGTCGGGACCATGACAGCTGGTACCCGGAGTCTCCTCTGAGCCGTAAAAGTTGGGCTGGGTCATTACCCAAAATAAAGGATTGGCTTATGACCAACCTGTTTGATTGGGGTTCAGATTTGGAGACTACAGGTAGAGACCAGCTCCTGGATTTGGAACCAAGGGAACTCTGTAAAAAGCTAAAAGGAGCATAGCTGGTTAGCCACTGTATGGGCTTGCCTGGAGTCTCCCTCTGACCCTTAAAAATAGGTCGGTCATTATACCCAAGATTCAGAAGGTCAACTGACCGCCCATTTTATCCCATTTCGGGGTCAGCTTCGGAGACTCATTCTGTGGTGACCTACGAGAAACAGGCCAAACACGCGCCACTGGGCTCTCGAGCCCTCAGTCCACGCGCGCACGCGCTAGGAGCAGCTGCTGGAGGCGCGCGGTGAGCTCCAGTCGCAGGTGGTCGCCTTGGAACAAGCCAAGGCCCGGGTGACTTCGGACAGCACGGCACTCGGAGGGAGCTGGGAGCCGCATTTCGGGAAACACCCCATGTTGGGGCAAGAAGTGTTGAGGGTAGGAGGGTCCTAGAACCCAACGTGGGGAAACCAGATCCGGACAGCTCGATTCGCTTGGGGCAGTTCGTGAGGACAGTTGCGCTTTTGTCCAGATTTGGGGCACGGCTCGGAGCGAGCCGGGAGCTGATTCCGTGGTTCTTTTCCGGGGGACACCTCAAATCCGCGAGCCATGGGGAAGTCAAAGGGAGTTCAAATTCCCAGAACTCCTGAGTTGTACCTATGACTTGGGTGGGAACCCTGGGAAGCCTTCGTTCGGTTCTTGAAGGGTTTTAATGGATGTTTTTACCTGGAGTCTCCATGACCCTTAAAAAATGGTTGGTCATTACCCAAAATAATGGGGTCATTACCCAATATAAAGGTGTCATGGACCCATTTTTAAAGGGTCATGGAGGCTCCAGGCAGTTGGTGTAGCGGTTGGGTGTCCGATTTTGTCCCCACGAAAGCTTCATAACTTGCGGAGCCCAGCCTAGGGGGCCCAACGAATTTGCCCGGCGAGGGCGAAAGTTGCCCACGGTTCCGTCACTTTCGTACTCCGGGCAACCAATCAAAACAAACCCTTTATGCGGGCCGAAATCCTCGAAAATTCCCAGCCCTAAACATGGGTTATCCTTCCAAAAAAAGAATATGGAATGGGTGAAGTGTGATTCTTCTTCATCAGGGCTCCTTAAAAGATACATTTTGCCCATTTGAAACATGGCTTTTTCCACCAAAATACAGGAAACCACCCTTTACAAGGCAATGTTCAGGTGTATAAGGTAAGGATCCCTGTTCATGGGTAGCCCTGTCGGGTGTAATGCGTTTCTTTGATTCGCAGTATCAAGTCAAGGCCCAAACCTTAGCCCAACTTTGGCTCTCTCTTTAGGCTATCCTTCAGCTCTCCGCTCAAGCGACGCATCAACCGGGACCCTCGATTGCGGGCTGCATCTCCGTTGAAAGCGTTTGGACCGGGAGAAACCGGTCTTTTTTAGGGTCCCACACATCTTGGGCGGGAAAAGAAAGCACCAGCTGCACAATTGATGTGTCGAGGGTAAGAATGGGACGGGTCATTACCCCCCCTCCCGACTCCCCCCCCCCAAAAAAAAGAGAAGAAGTCACAGGTCCTTTCGAATGCTTAGGGTAGCACCGGCCAAGACTATTCTCGGGAGAGATGTTCTCCCAATTTGGCCTGGACCTAGGGCCCAAGATGTCATCTTAGGACTTCTGCGGTTGGGTCGTATTCGGATGTAGTTTTTTCAATTTTGAGATTCAGTGGTCAGCTTCTGATTTCTTATTGCGACTGGTCCTGACAGTATGATGATTAGAGATAACTTACTGTTGGCTGTGACATGCTATAAAGCAGTGTGGCTGTACCAACACGATGATACCAAGCTTCTGTCTCTGAACTGGCAAGTCCATTGTGACCGTGGTCAAAGGTCGGAAGTGGCAGGCGTTGTCGGGGGGTCGCTTGCTGCTGTTGGTTGCCAGTTATTTTGCTTCACGTTCTCGGACTTGCTTCTTCCTTTTTCGGCCTGCATGCTTGCCACGTTGTGCTTCTTGGGATGTCTAGTGTTTCATTTGCAAGGATTTCCCATCGCTGGATTGTTATCCAAGATTGCGGCCAGCATCGTGCTGGGCACTGAAGAGCAGCAATGGATATGTGGTGCGCGTGTGCGCAAGTCACGCGGATTTGCTGCCACATGCTATGCGCTACGTGGACGACCTTGCATGGGTGAGCTCTGTGTACTGCTGGCTTTGCCTGACAGAGGCCTTTTGTATCATATATATTCGGTTTCCTTCGATGCTGCGCCTGCCTGGCTTGACTTGCAGTTGAGCTTGCACAGTTTTCAGCGCCAACAGTGGTGGGTCCGGTAAAGGATCGTGCGTGTAGCATCTGGAAAGAAGCCAATATGTAGAGTCCATTTGTTTGAACCCATGTGTAAGAACCCATTAAGACTTACCCAACCTTGGGGTGACCCTTCAGGCGCCTTGCAGAAAACACATGCCAATTGTATCTTGTTCTCTGGTACCGCCCCCAAGGGTACCCTCAAAAAGACACCAACGCAGGTTTCTCTCAAAATTAGAAGACGGACCCCGGAAATAGTTTGCGTGTTTTTTTCTCAGGTGCCCAGTGGTGCCCTTGTTTCCGAAATTTCCGGGAAGGGTTGCCCTTGAAAGTTAACCAACCACAAGAAAGGTGCCCTTTTCTTCCAATGGCCACTGGGCATCTGAGTCTTCGTTGTCCTTGAAGACCCATCCGGAAAAGGAGAAGAACACCTTGTGGCGCGTTTTTGTTTTTGTCGGCCCCGGTGAGGCGGCGCTTCAGCAACAGCACAGCAAGGATCTCGCTGACCTTACAAGGCTGGCTGGGAGTGAACTTGGCCACAGGGCCCCAGGGCGCAACACCCGAAAGAAGTACCTAGAGACCCTTGAACACTGGGTCCCTGTTTATTTTGGGTGACCCGGTGGAGACTCCAAGTACCTACAAGACAAGTTGGAATTCACCAAATCCATGATGTTGGGTTGCAATCGGCAATTTGCAAGTTGGAGTGTTGCGGTCCAGGTCCCAGGGGTGGAGCGTATGTTGTCCAGACCTGAAAACATCCAAGATACGTTGCATTAGATCAATAAAACCAACTCCACTTGGTGTAGTTGTTAACTAATCTGTTTTTTGTTTAGTATGAGAGTAATCTGTTTGAAAATGCAAAAGGTGCGATTGCAGATGCCCGGGTCCCCTGTTCAGGCTCAGGCTAGAAGCCCTAAGGGAGTAGTTGCTTGAATTGATTCTTTAACTTGATCAGGTCTCAAAACTGGAACTTCTTTTTTTTGTGCTCCGGGTGTTCTACGACTACGAGGACCTAGCCGCGTGTTCATGTGCTTGGCGTGTAAGGGGCTGGGCAAACCCCAGCCCATGTCTCCAACCGGCTGGTAGATTGGACATCGGATACCACCAGCAAACGAGGACGTGCCAGTCCTTTCCAAACACACACACACACACACACACACACACACACCGGTCCGTGTACCAAAGCACACTTGTTGATGGGAGGGCACTAACTAAGGGGGCTACCAGATGACAAACATCTTGTTGTTTCCATGAGCATGGCGTGACTTGATTTTTTGAGCTGCCCCAAACCAGTCGGTCAACCACTGACTTCCGCACCCACCCACCCAGCCACCCACCCACTCACTTACGCCCTCACTCACTTCTAACTGAAACAAGGTGCAGCACGACGTTTCTTGGCGGGTTCCAGCCGTCCCGTTAGCTTTGCAGGGTCTTTAGGGTTTAGTGGTGGGGGAGGGTCCTTTTAACCCGCAAAAGGTAATCTTTTAGCAGAGTCAAATCGCCACCTCACTGACCCTCGTGGGGAATGCGACTGATGTCACCCATGAAAGTGTCTATTTTCGGTCCGTTTCATCTTTCATGAGTGAGTTATCATAGTTCTTCCATGTTTGGACAGAACCAGTGGACCAGCTCAACCCGGACAGTGTTGGTTTGGGGAGAACATGAAACGCCTCAAAGTCGTAGCGAATCGGGCGACCCATTTGCTCCATGTCTTGGGGAAAGACTATGGGGGGCTTGGGTTGAGACAAGCCAACCCCTCGGTGCCGGACACCTATTGGCATTTGCTTGGCAGTTTTTGAGGGGGGGAACCAAAGGCAGGTTGTTCAAGCCAGGGGGGTGGAGTTGGATGGCATCCCTTTAAAGGTAGGGTGAATGGGAAGCATGTAATTCATCAAAAAGGGCCTCAAAGGTTCTTCAGTTCTATCGAATCCGGAGCAAAATCTTGTCAGTGCTTTCAGGTGTTGGGTACCACTATAGGTACCCAGAGTTTCTTACCTCTAAGTTGTACAGGACTGTTTTCGCTGGGGGCTCCCATTCTTGCGGCAGCCTCGTGTTGCTTCTTCCTTTGTGGTGGGTGTCAGGATCTGGTTGTTGAACTAAATGGTGCCCAACCCAGAGGCAGCTGGCGGAGGTTCGTGCAGAGGCGACCCGGATGCAGGACTGGCGCGTTCGTCTCAAGACCCTTCCCCCCCCCAAACACGACCAAAATGGGTAGTCGGTGCAAGGGAAATGATTTTAGTGGCCAGCTTGCCTGACTTGACTCTTCTGCGGTTCGACACTGGGCAACACACAAGCGATCATGGGCATTGCTCTCACACGTGATCAAAGAGGCGGTTTTGCAGATCTGCGGAAGCCCAGAGCCCCGTAGCAGCAGGGCTTGGCCCAGCTTCTGGAGATGCACTTTTTCTGAGGAAAGGCAAGGGGGCCAAAGAGCAATCTATGACTTGGCGGCTCCCTGCCATCCGGTTCCTTAGCCTTTTAGCTTTTTAGTGTTTAATGGTAGTTTCCATTGAACCCACTAAAAGTTGAGAACTTTTAACGGGGGATTGTTCTGGCAGCCCGGATGAGTGATTGTCGGCTGGGGTGCAAACCGTGGGTTGGTGCATCCTTTCGTCACAGATGCTGCCGAGTCCAGTCCTTGGCATTGTCCATCACCCTCTGCTTCTGATAGGCTGTCTGACCTGGAGCTGGCGCTGAGGCGGCAAACACAGAGCGACACTAATATTTGTTTCAATCATGGTAGAACAACCACCCAGAACCACGTTGCCCACACCAAATTATCAGGTGTCCCTTAGTTGGTGGTTTGGATTGGTGGGAATTTGAACCCCTGGTTCTTGTTGAGGGTAAATGCGAAACCCGGCTCCAAACCACCACTTAGAGGCTCTGGCTTTGCCTTATGCATGGGGCCCCTCTGGTGATACCTGAAATATTGGTGTGCCAAACACGTGCGTGGTGTTCTTCAACTTGCACTCCCGTTTGCACTCAATCGGCGGATATCGGCGGCCAGTCAGTGTTTGGACTTAGATGTGACTTTCTGGAGATGTTCTTGGTTTCACGGATTTTTTTTGACACACAAGGCATGGCATAGTCTCCTATACCCTCTTTGGCTTACATGGCCTGGCCAGCTTCTGGCTGACCTTGCCTCTGCCAAACTTAACTGCTTCACACAGTTTCACCGGACAAATTCTCTGGTTTTGTCTCTTCTTTTTCCCCCTTGGAATCTGTGCGCATGAGCTGATGACTTCCAGGGACTTTTGCTTAGGATGGAGTTGCTCGAAGTCTGTGGGGTTGGGGTGGGTTCCCCGACTAGTGGCCCTCTATGGTCTTCTATTTGCTTATATTTTCCCCTGTTGGCTTTAAAGGGAATCTATCCCTACTGGAAATATTGCTGTTTTCTCCAGGCGGCTTAAGCAAATGAAAGCCCTCTATTGTTCGTTGTGGGAGGACACGAGGTGGCCTTGAAGTTCCCTTGTGCATGGACCAAAACAGGTGTTTCAGCCAATGCTCCCGTGCTTTTGTGGGGCGCGAGTCGAGAAACATGTTTGTTTTGCTGTGAACGAGCAGGGTTCTCGAAATATGGGACTGGATGTTTCCTTCCTTCCTTCCTTCCTCCCTTCCTTCCTTCCGTCCTACAGATTGGCTCCTCAGGAGGAGAAAGCTCAACTGGCAAGACGCGCGCAGGAGGCCGGGACTTACTGGCTTCGATCATGCCCGCTGGCAAGGTACATGGACCATTCAACCAGGTAAGGGGCTCTCCGGAATGCATTCCAGACTGGCATCATTCCTGTTCCCGATGGGGAGGGCGAGATATGGGGTTGTCTTCTTAAAAGCGCCCATCGTGAACGGGCTGTGGTTTCCAGTTTGCTTCCCTTTGCAACACACAAGCAAGGTAATGCCCCACATCCACGTGTAGAGTCTACCTTCTCAGGTTGGCAGGGTCATCAACCTCTTCGGGGTTCCAGACAGCCATTATACAGGATCCCCTTGAAACCCCGGCCATGATCTTGAGCTAACAAGCGCATGGTATGGGCCTTTTAGAAGTGTTGAACGGTTCCTTCTGGTACGATTTGCCACGGCTGTCAACAAGCCGGGCAGAGTTTGTATGTTTCGTAAAGGATATACCACGGAGTTCGAGAAGATGTTCCCAGGCAACCTGTGCGAACCGTTGAGGGAGGGCTTCAGAGTAACTACTCAGGGCCTTGAGGCAAAGGGGGGACCTTATAACCTACCCCCTTCTTGTGGGTACTTCAAAAACGAGTACTTCCTTTTTAAACACCCCGAACGGACAGGTATTGCATTGCCCTTTGATTCAACCCCGGTAAAGATTGCCTCCAACCACATCCCCCAAAAAATATTCTCGGCCAAAACCACTTTCCCACGGGTTCCGCCGGTTCACTTTCCCGAATCCGCCGGTTCCGCGCTGCCGGCGGAGTCCCGCAAGGATCGGTCGGCGCTGCTGCGGCACTGGCACGACGAGGCGCGGAGCGGCGCGCGTCTCGCTGGTCTGTTTGTTTGTGTCTTTCTCTTCTTTCTTTGAATCTTTCTTTCTTTCTTTCTTGCTCGCTTGCTTGCTTGTTTGTCTGTCTGTTTGTTTGTTTGCTTGCTTGCTTGCTTGTTTGTTTCTTTCTTGCTTGTCTGTTTGTTTGTTGCTTGCTTGCTTGCTTTCTTTCTTGCTAGCTTGTCTATTTGTCTGTTTGTTTGTTGCTTGTTGGCTTGCTTGCTTGCTTGCTTGCTTGCTTGTTTGTTTGTTTGTTTATTTATTTGTTTTTTTTTGTTGCTTGATTGTTTGTGCCTTCGTTTGTTTGTGTGTTTGTTTGTTTGTTTGTTTGTTTGTTGTTTTTTTTTTTTTTGGTTTTTTTTTGTTTGTTTGTTTGTTTGTTTGTTTGTTTGTTTGTTTGAGTGTGTACATTGTTGTATGCAGGTGTAATTTGTGTACGCGTGTGCATTTTCGGTCTTAGTATCTGCTTCGCAGTCGGGATGGCTGAAACCCGTTGGGATAGCCATAGATATGGCCAGGGTCAAAATCCAAATCGTACCCCCAGTGAACATCCCAATCCAACCACTAAAATAGGTTCTAAAAATGGGTGGTGAATTCACCTACCCCACTTTTTTTTAAAGATTGCCGCTTCCCTTGCCACTTTCAACCACAAGCTTGGACAGCCCGAAAAGAAGTCAAAGACTTCCCCCACTGACCGCCAGACCAAACCCCAAAGAGGAAATATGACTGCTGAGCCTTATTCAGGGCTCACTTACCCTTCGTACCCTTTATTTACTCTCAGAGGCATAATATATATATATACATATATATATATATATATATATGTATCCGTTTGAGGCATCCGTGGCCCTGTTACCCCGTTGAAGCTTGGAACTTCCCAGCCACCTTTTGAGCGGAAAAGAGGGACTGGTGGCATCCAAGAAAAAGAACTTGCAGGTGCCCGGGCTGCTTCCTTTTTTCCATTTCTCAGTTGTTCAGTGGCTCCCTTTTCCCTCTTTTTTTGGTGGCTGCCCCACTAAAATGATCTTCCCAAAAAAGGGTTCCCTTTTTTTCCAGGGTCACTGAACAACTGAGATTTTTTTTTGGGGGGAAGAGTTCCCTTTAAACCTAGGTCCCCCAAGCAATTGGTGCCCGACCTCTCACCCCTTTTTTGGTTGGGAGGGTTAGGGACTCTACTAAAATAGACTACAGAAAAAACCCTTATTCTGGCCTCTCTACTGCAGGACCTTTAAGTCAACCAACCAGAAAAAGATGCCGAGTATTTTTTTTCCCCTGGTCACGGGGCATCGGAGCAACTAAGAAAAAGCACTTTGAGTTTGGCAGAGGGGGGACCTGCTAAGGTTTCAAACTTCGCGCCAAGCCACCAATAGAAATGTTGTTTGTTCTTAGCCGGGTGAAACAAGGTTGCAAGTAGTCATGTGTCTCCACTTCAAGCAAGCCTTCGTTCCCACGCAATCCATGCAGTATAGCAAGATTTGGGCCATTTGGAGCGTAAATGTGGGTAAATAGTGCCTACAGGGATTGTGTGGAGTTCTGTTTCGCTAAAGCGCCCCTGATGGGTCAGGCTTCGCAGTAGGTTGTCAGAGCCAATCAACTCAGGATCTTGGCTTCTTAGAAAAAAGAGAGTCAATCAGCCCAAACTAAGTCAAGCTCTGAAGCTTTTTTTAGCCCAAACTAAGTCAAGCTCTGAAACCTACTTAGGCTAACCTGGAGTCTCCATGACCAGTCTCATCTCAAGGTGATGAGCCTCCGGGAGGAGAAGGCGTGCATTGGGTCTCGACTGAAGAGGATTTTGGGATCTATGACAACTCCACAGCCATTTGCTCAAGAATATGTTGTTGATTTTTCCTTGCTGGTTTTAAAGGGAATCGATTTCACTACTGGACTTACTTTTTCTTTTCTTTTTTCCGCGGGGCTTAAGCAGATGGAAGTCCAGGTGCTCTGGAATGCCCTGGATGACCCTGCCTTATTCCTGAGTTAAAAGTCCCTGGTGGATTCACCAGCTATGAGAACTGCAGGAGATTTAAGGGTAGACTCCAGGAATTGTTTTGCGGGAGGATGCCCTTGGATGATCTCCCCTTGGCAATTGGTTATCTCCAGCTAAAAGTCCCCAGAGTCAAGCAAGCCTTTGAACTACATCGGAGACCAGGAATTGTTCTGAACCCAGCTGCATGTTTTCACCTCTTGGTGCTTAAAAAGATCGCCAGATCAACATGGAACTCAAAACACCGCCATTTCTAGAGGAACCTCCCTGTGACTTGGACCTCCGTTTTGGCTCCATGTGCTGGGAGTATGCTCCGAGTGAAAAGCCCAGCTGTGAGGGTGAGTTGACTCTTGCATTCCAAGTAACTTCGAAGTCACTTATCACCAGGAGTGAGGCGCACAAGTCCAAGTAGACAATTCAAGTGCTTTGTTGTATGCAAACAAGCAACATCAAAGCAAATGCCAGATGTACTGTAAATTCTGTGGCTAGCAAAGCCTCGGTCTATATTACAAAGATGATGGCTTACTTTCCCAACTTCTTCCTTGATTATGTTTGGGGTTCCCTCATTTCCCTTGTTGGAACCTCATGCCCCTACTGAAAGGGGCATTGTACTTAGTGGGTAACCATGGTTATAACCCACTCGCCATGGTTGTGACAAGGCTTCCTAACCACTTCCCTGACGTACCCGATAGCCCCTTTGCTCACTTCCTGGGTTCCTGGACTTCGTCACTTTTGGGGATTGGACCATTCTAGTGGTTTCTAAATGCAAAGTTTGGTTCCTTTTTTTGCCAATCCACTCGATGCTTGGGAAGCGAGTAACCGGATCCACTCGATGGGACGCAGTTGGGACCTGGCAGGCCCCAACTGCCCAAGGTGAGTCGTTTTGGGGGAGGCGATGGTTTTTAGGGAGCCCGAAAAGGGATCCCTGTTGAAAGTTGATAGGTCTAGGGTTTGTGATTCCCCATTCTTTTCAACCGTTTCTTTTCAACAACCAGCCATTTTTTTCCTGGGTTTCCGAACGTGTTCTAGCAAGAAGGATCCCTGGAAAGAAAGGGGAAGGTATCCCTAGAATAGGGAGCCCTGTTTTCCTGGTTTCTCCCCTTTACGCAGCGGAGTGATGTTTTTCCGGTGTCGGTCCAACCCCTGCCGAGCTGTCCGCAGGCCAACGCGCTGGGTGTGGCAGAGGCGGAGAAGCTGAGCCTCAGGAGGCGCCTTTGCGGGGTGCTGAGGAGCTGGATGTGGCCGGATCTCGCTCTGAAGCAGAGGATTTTGTCCATCCAGAGTAGTTTCGAGGTTTCTTTGGCTAAACCTAAGTACCTGGAGTCTCCAAGACTCTTTAAGAATGGGTCAGTGACCCTATTATTTTGGGTCATGAGCCCATTTTTTGAGACTCCAGGTGCCCTCCCAACTAACTGACCTGTTCTTCTCGTGAGACGGCTTGACCCGCTCGTACCCGGGATGGCCAGGTCGTATACTATCCGAGCAGTACTGCGTTACTCCTTACCCTTGCCTACCTCCCACCAATCAACCGAATCAACATAGAAAACCCGACGTTTCGGGGGGTCCTGGCTTGGAACAAGAGACGGACAACTACCGCCTAGTTGGAATGCAGGGACTGAGGAGTTTGAATCCTTGGAGGCACAAGGTACAAGAAAACGTGGTGATTCCCGAAGCACATGCCCCGCAAAAGTCCGCACCGAGGGGGGAACCATTGCGAGCGAAAAAGGCGAACTGTTGCTGACGAATAGCGACTAGGGGCTATAGAAGGATAATTCAGGGTCTGTACCTGCCCGTGGCTCCGCTTTCTATGCTTCTGCCTTTCGCAGGTGTTCGCGGGAAAATGCTGCCCGCCAAAAAAAAGAGACACATGTCGACATTGGGGGCGGGGGCTCCAGGAAGAGGGTTCTTTGTTTGGGATGGGTCACCTGTTGTAGTTCAATGGTTCAACACCCTTAATGCAGGGTACAAGGATGTGTGTGTGTGTGCTTGTTTTGTCGTTTTGAAAGATAGACCTTAGAGTAGTTGTTATGTCTGGGGTGTTTGGTTGGGCTTTGTCCTTCTGTCCAAAGTTTCGCTCGTGCCCCGTCAGTTCGATCTTAGCGTCCACGCTTCTGCCTCTTCGCCATTTTCTTGAACAGTCGGGGGGCGTTGAATCAGCTGTGATGACATAAAAAAAGATACCGCGCATGCGCACAAACTTACTTGACTTGATGCCACCTCATGTGGGACAAAAAGGCAGTTTCGGCCAACAGTAACAACTTGCACTGTCACCGTTGCTCTTTGAATTCAACGGCGGCGAACGAAGCAGAACAAGAAGGTTTAGAAGCGGGAGGGCCATGGTTACCCTGCGTACCGCGCTACCCGAATGCAAAACAGGGGCTCATTGAAGAGGACACAGACACGTGCGACCCAACGGCCGGCTCCGCGGGAGCGTTGTGAATCGTGAGTTGTCGGGCGCAAAAGGAGAATTCAGAAGGACCTTAAGATGAAGGAGTACCAGTTGCAAAACTATACTCCTTATCTATACTGTCAGGCATTGTCATACAGACACTCGAAGACACTGAAAGACTTGACCCCAAAGTAAACATGTCCGAGAACAAACAGTGCTCAAAATGTAAAGTCTAGCCCACTGGAAAAGTTCAATGAAGGAAGAACACAATGGAATATATTCTTGGAAAGCAAAAGGCTATACAGAGAAAGACACAGAGACCGTATCAGCCATGAAGCAGGGACTATGGAACAAGCACAAAATGGTTGCTTGAAAGTCAACAGAGCTATCCCGAAGACCATGAGGACAAGAAAAGGAACATGCACACTAATATCGTGCACACAAATAAGAATAAATCAATGGGCAACAGACAGACAAACTAGCATAAGTTGCTAGCAACAGATAGACAAACTATCATAGGCTGCTGGTAGAATGTCCTTTGTGCATTTGTATTGGTAGGTGAATACAGAGTACCTGGCCAACCAATAGCAAGCAAGCACCAGCCAAGAAGCACAGAGCTGCAATGATACTGTGAGGGAAAGCATAAAAGAAATAAATGATTTTGCACATGAGATGGAATGAACAACAGACCAGCCCAAAGCCCAAGGCAGAACAGCTACGCAAAGGCCTTACTCTTTTAAGTTAAAAACAAGCAGCACTCCCAAGAACCAAGACAAGGTAAACAAAATCCCTAACACCCTTTATGCATCAACGCAAGCGTCTAACTCAAGCCGGGGTGTTAAAACGTTTATTTGTTTTGCAGCCAGGTTCCAGAACGCCTGGCAGTGCTTTCAACAATGAGCTTGCAGTGGCCCAATCCATCACTTGGCAGCTTGGCAGCTTGCCGTGCCAGGCGCTTCCAAGCAGAGCTGCAGGAGTTGCAGCGGAACAAGGCGCGGCTATGAGGGGTCCAGAGACCAGCTCCGTGATGCGTGCATTCCAGAGACCTGGGAAGACCGCCAAAGGGCCTGGGAAAACCGCCAATGCAGACTTTTTCGGGCCCGCGGCCCTCCCATGAACCCTGACCCCCTTGCCCCCGTTTCCCCATTGCATTTTGAGGGGTTTTCACCATGACTTTGGGTCTTGGTGGTTTCCCTTTCAACCACAAGCGTCATTTTGACGTTTTTTTTTTGACCCATTATACTTGGTGGCTCCCAGCCATCCCCTTAACCTTTTTGCTTTTTAGTCTTTAGTGGGGATTTCCATTTAACTCACGAAAGGTTTGACTGTTAGCGAGGGATCTGAGGGCAGCCCAGTATAGTGGTAAACAAAGGTTGAGTCGGACTCGACAATTGCAGGATGGCGCTTCAATGGACCCAGTAACCCTTTTCGCTCGAAGCCGCACGCGGGCTCGAAGCCGCGAGGAGGAGACGGTCTCTGAGCTGGAGCGGGATAAGGCAGGACCTGGCAAAGTCTCGACGGCAAAGTTTTGAAGAGAGCAAGGGTTTGTAAGCTTGGATGGGGAGTGAGCCCGAACAAGTTGAAGGGCAACATAATTCCAAAGATGACTAAAAACACCGTGGATGGTCGCGCAATGCATTTCGTACCACCTTTCAGATTCCCTGGAATGACATGATTCCCATGTAAATACCAAAGCAACTTATGGTGCAGCATGTCGTCCGTCCAAAGCGTCGAGGTCTTTCGGATCGTCAGATCCGCTGAGCGGTGCAACTAGCCGTTCTCCGAAGCAAGCGAGCCGTGTTGCCAAATCAAGAAAACCCCTGAATACTGCGCCTCAAGGACATGGTATTCGCTTGGAATAGGGACTAAAACCCTGTAGAACGAAGGCGACCCTGTAAACACCGAAGCCTCCAGAGATTCCATGTTTGCAAAATTGAATTTGGGAGAGAGCTCAAACGGGGGTCTGGCGGTTGTTAAATTGCAAGTGACAAAACCGACGGGGTAGGGATGGACGGCAGGGTTTCCTTTGGTCTCCTAGGCTACTTTTGGCACCTATCGCGAGCCATTGGAGGAATTTCATTCACCCAGATCCATTTTTTTCACGGTCAGGGGGTAACTCGATCCATACCCAGATAAAATGAAGCCCAGTGGATCAAAGGCGTTTTGCCCTTGTAGGCAAGCCTTCGCCATGTTCCTTCGTTTTTTTCCCTCCGACTGGCAAAAGCCGTTTGGTGACCTCCAAGACGCACGTTCGTCACTTTTTGTTCTTGGAGCAGTAAAAAGTTCCTGATCTTTTTTTGGCCACTCCACTCGATCGGTGAGCAAGTGGAATCCACTGGGAAGCAGTTGAGACCTTGGGGCAGGCTGTGCATCCATCCTCCCGCCCGTGCGAAACGAAACTTGGGGGTTGATCAAAGGGTCGGTGATACGTAGCATGACCATTGGTTGAGGAAACCGCCGAAGAGATTCGATAGTTCAACCTGGGGAAAAGTTCCTGGTCAGAACTGGGCCAGCAAGAATCACGCTCCACTTCTTCAGGAAAATATGTCCATGGACGCCACCACAAACTAGGTTTTCCGGTGGTACCCTTTCTCACCCCTTTTTTGGTTGGGAGGGTTCCCATACTAAAATAGCCTACAGAAAGAGCAAACCGAGCACCCTTATTCTAACCTCTCAAATCTGGAGGACCTAGTTTTGTGATTGCCAGGATTTGGGTGGGTAGTTTGTGGGTATTTTTTTGAGGACCTTGGCCTTCAAGTTTTGACCCCTTGTGCAAAGATTCGATTTCTTCGGGACAAGTTCGCCACGGGTCAGAACTGCCCACTTCGAGGCATCTTTGCGCGACAAGTGGCAGGCTGCCATGGAGGATGAATCCATTTTTCAGTCGCCTGTGCCTTGAAGGCTATGTATAGGTTGGATATCTTGAACCTTTTACCTTCCCCAGAATTAGCTCCCCTTTTTCCTTTTTTGCTTTGTTGGGGTCCCCTTTGCTTTCCACTAACCAGGCACTTTCCTTTGTTGGAATTCTTGAACCTTTCACTAAAAACAATCCCCCGGGTCGGATATCTTGAGCCTTTTACTAACAAAGTTGGCCCCTCAAATTTTCTACCTTTCACAAAAAACAAACCCCTGGCTTGGACATCGTGAGCCTTTCACTCAAGAATCCCCCGTCCAAGTTTTTAACTTGTGGGTTAATTAGTCGGCAACAAAGACATTCCCAAGCTTGAATATTTCACCAAAAAAGTTCCCCCCCCCCTCCCCCGGTTACATATCTTGAAGCTTTTACCGAAAATTGCCCCGGGCCCCAATTATACTTTTTTTCAACTGTTTGCAGGTTACTGGGAAACAAAGACATTCCCAAGAAGTTCGATTGGGCAGAACCTTTCATCTTCAACTTATTGGGAATGTGTTTGTGTGCCACTGCCGAAGGTCTTAAGGGGTTCTGAGCCAGGTCCTCAAGAGTCTTTCAGCCGGAAGATTGGGGAAAGGTGGGGGGGTGTGGACACCCGGCCGTGTGATTCTTTAACATGGGTTTGGGTCCATGTTGGCACTTGCCAGTTTTAGTTTTTTTTTTTTTTTTTTTTTAGTTTTATATATATATATATATATACATACAACTTATGTTTTGTGTTTGTCTTTTCATCATGATGAGGGTCATTTGGTTCGGAGCTCCTGGAGGGGCAAAACGCAGGGCGGGCGTTTCGGGGTTGTCTCTCTGAAAGTTGCGGCCGCTTCCCGAAAGAAAACGTGTCCATTCTATTTCCTCAGTTGCCCAAAGCGAATCGACCTTTTAACCTTTTGGTCTTCCAGTCCCCAAAAGGTTATCCTTTTATTTTTGGGTCCTTTGGGCAAGTGAGTTTCCCCTTACTACTGTTGATAGACGAAATCCATTTCGCGCCATGGAATGAAACCATGATTGAAACCAGCACGTTTGTTGGTATTTATGTTGAGGAATCATCATTCCAGGGTTTCTGAAAGGTGTTGCAAAATTGATTTCGTCCTCCACAGTATTGACCTGATTAACACCCCCCAGTTGTTCAGCCTGGAAGAAAGGAAACGCTCCACTCAAAAGGGCCCCGCAACAACTGAGGCGGCTTGTCAATGATTACCCAAGCAGGGGTTCCCTGCAAACGATAGCTTGGGTGTTTGGCTCGGCCAAGTTAGGAAGTAGGTACGCCGTCCCGTGGAGACCACAAGTGCGGCTATTCATGGGTTATAAGTCAGGTGGCTCTCTAGGAACTTGGCCCAACCATCGGCTGCCTTGTATCTCGCACCACCTCAGGGTCCGATCGGGACTTGTGACCCCATTTGCGGCGAAGCCATGCCCCTAGAGGTTGGCCAACCATCTCTGTGCCTTTTCTCTACCTGGACCCGCCCAATTCCATCTTCATGGGGTATTGCTCCAAGTTATGGAGTTCGTGAGTTCCAACTCTTTCATGGGTGGTTCAATCGTGTCCAGGTCTTTGCTTTCTCTCTAGTCACTCCAGTTACCCCCCCCTCCCCCACCAATGAAGGATGGAACCGTTCGACGTTCGGGACAGACATGTCCCTTTAAAGGAACATGGTTCCGTCCAAACCAGGATCGATTCCCAAAAGGTCGAAGGGTTGCATGTGGTAGTTCTCGCTTGGGCCGTCGATGCGAGCCTCATGAGGAGATGGGCATCCTGCAGGCGCAAATGGTGGCAGCGGAGGAACGCCGTTCCGCGGGGGGTTCGGTGCGAGCGTCGGGATCACTTCGGAGCTGGCAATAGGTTGGGATTTGTTGTTCCTGATCCCTCAAACTACCCAGAACAAAGAAAGAAAGAACACATAAAAAAAAAAAAAAAAAAAAAACTATTTCAACCAAGAAACGTTTTGAACATAGCTCAATAGGGAATTTTGAGGGTTGGGGTTGTCATACCCGGTAGATCCGACTTCAAGGGTTCCAACTCGGTTACCTGCAATATAGGTAGATGGGATCGCCGGGATAAAGCATCAAAAGACACTTTGAAAGGGCCCTGACAATGGGAAGAAATGCACCAAACCAAGCCGACTCTTGGAAACGCGTGGATTGACGCCATTTCTGTGCAATCTCTGAGCCTACATACTCTGAGGTGTAGGTATCTTGCTTACCTGGGGGTCTTGCCTCACTTCCCGAGTTCCTGGACTTTTGTCACTGTTTGGGGTTTGGACCATTTTGGTGGTAAATCTAAAGTTTGGTTACTGCTTTTGACCAATCCACTCGATTGGAAGTGAGGTACTGGTTGGGTCAATCGACACACCGCTACACACCGCTCCGCACGCCAACTAGGTCCCCCAGTAGTGCCCTTTTGCCAACTTTTTGGGGGGAGGGTTCCTGTACTAAGATGACTACATAAAAAAAGGGTACCCTTATTCTAACCTCTCTACTGGAGGACCTAGCCAACAAAAAGCTCCGGCCGATTCGCTGGATTCGCTCGCTCAAACTCTTTCGAGGAGCGCTTTAAGGAGGAGCTGAGGGCGCGCTGTGCCATGTTCGAGGATGAGAAGGCGGGGGAGCTGGAGCCAACCACCTGTAGCCCCCGAGCTAGGTGCCCTTTCTCACCCATTTTTAGGGGAGGGTTCCCCTACTAAAATGCAGACTATCAGAAAAAGGTGGGTAGCCTTATTGTAACCTCTCAAATCTGGAGGACCTAGGTGTCCTTTTGATCGGTTGGCTTGGTAAAAAAGGATGGCTGGCCTTGGCCGCTAGGCATGACATCCAACCCTTCAGGTGGGGGTTGAAATGCAGCAGCCGCCCTACCACTTGCAACCGGTAAGACTTTGTTTGACCTTGGTTGGCATGAACAGGGCTTCGTCAGGTCAGGTAGTGCGCTTTCGGGTCCAGGTTGTTAAAACAAGAGTCATTTAAACGCGTCGCAGGTGGTTGGACCCTCAAAATTCCAACTAAAAACTGGGATTGCAACCGAAAATCATGGAATCGGTGAATTCAATCCCTTTTTTCGTTTGAGGGTTGCAGGCTACAACCCATCCAAACCAGTGAAACCCCAGCAAGGCTGGTATCTTATTTAGGGGGTTGATCACTACTTCTGACTTGAGACCTAGGCAGAGGCGAGGCGGCAGTGCTACGACGAGCTAGGCCGTCTGCTCGAAGAGAAGGCGCGGCCGTCGGACTTTTTCTGTCGCTGTTTGGGCGCTTTTTTTTTGCCAATCCGCCTAGGAAGTGAGCGCTTTTTGGGTTGGACTATTTTGGCAGCAATGAGAAGTTCAGACTTGTTTGGCCAATCCACTCGTGAAGAGAGCCTTATAGGCCATTTGAAGCACATCATTATTCCATTAGACTTAAGGTCGTCGATTACGACCTTTTGGCTCCGGAGCGAGGGGAGCAACTTGTTTTTGTTTGAGGCTGCGGTCGCCTCTTTGCGCGTCGTGGCTTGAGGTTGGAAGCTGACCCGACCGAACTTGGTACAACTCCTGCGTGACCCAGGCGGAGTCCCGAAACTACATTTTGCCCATTTGAAACATGGCTTTTTCCACTAAATAAAGGGAAACCACCATTTACAAGGCAATGTTCAGGTGTATAATGTAAACCCGGGGATTGATGAAGATTAGTAAGGGACGATCCGCTTGCCATAAATAGCTGCGGATCTCCGCCTTCTTAATTCTTGAAGCATGGTTCTGGGTGAACCATTTTTGTACCGGGTTTTGATTATGACCCAGGTGGCGTTTTGGATCCTGCCACCTTGGCGTTTTGGTGTTTTGGGCAAGCCATCAATCGTACCCACAGGACCACCTGAAACCAGAGCTTGCCTCAGCCAAACACCACACCATTTCATGTAACACCACACCATTTCTGGTAAGGCCCCTTAGAGATCTCTCCAATGAAGCGGAATCAGGCTTTAACGATGAGACGGGTTCATTGGTGGGGAGCGCGCTGCTGGGGTGTTCCCTATCAACCCGGTACCTAACTGTTGGTGCCAAATGAGACCAATTAACTTGCTGGTTCTTAGGGAATGAAGAGGGGTTTTGGGAATGAACCTCCTTGACCCACATTCCCTCAACAAAATTATGATTGCAACCCAAAAATATGGTTGGTCAATTCCCTCTTTGTGGGTAGTTTGAGGGTTCAGGCTGAAGATTCCCCAAACGAAAACAAGGGATGATGCGTAGGGGTCATTCCATTTCTCCTTCCCGCACAAGCAGCAAGATCCTCAAAAATACCGTACAAATGGGTGATTGCCTGCCCCCAAAGATTGATGGGATGGGCGAGAATTCTACAGCTGTTTTTTTGGGTTTGAGGGTCCAGGTTTACCCTTGCTATGGTTGGTTTAACGGAAAACCATGGCGAAAGCCCAAGCGGCTTTGTTGTGTTTTTCATTATTCAAAGGTTGTGGGGACATTCTATGTTGGGAAAACCCATGTGATTGCCCCACCGGAGAAAATCCATTTCGCGGCATTTCAGACTCCCTGGGATGAATCGATTCGCAAATACCGCTCAGAGCGGTTTCAACCACGGTTTCATCTCGCGCAAAATGGATGTCTCGCAACCGCCGACCGCCCAAGGGGGGCCGTAGTCCCCAGGCCACCGAGGCGGCGCGCCAGAGCCTGGATACCGCACAGCTGCAACGCAGGTTCGATCCGAGTGGAATCGAATCGAGTCACCGAGTTCGAGGTCGTAAAAGGGTTTCCGTTTGGTGTCCTTGGGAAAACCGGTGCCCAGGGGATAAGTTGGAGTTCAACTTGCTTTTTTTAGTTGTGGTTGGTTGGTTTTTGTGGTAGGGGTCCTTGTACACTCCCACTTGCAGCAGATTTGCCTTTTTGCCCTTGGTGGTTTTGGGAATCGATTTCACTACTGGATATATTTTACGCCCAGTGGGCGTATTCTCACATGGAAGTACAGCAACCCTCCCTGAGTTCCGTTTCGGACTTTAGTCACTTTTGGGATTTCCGGAGCTGTTCTGGCCCATCCACTCAGGAAGTGAGAACCCCGAAATGGAATTGGACAAATACCTGGAGTCTCCATGACCCTTTAAGAATGGGTCCAACCCGTTTCTTTTAAGTTCTTGAGGTGGTATACATGGTGTCGTGGGGGGGCGGCGGTTTGGGAGCAATAATGGTTACGTTCAGCCCGACGGGGGGGCACACCCGTTTGCGTGCACCCTCTCAGCACTGCACACACTCACACACACGCTCACATGCATACACACACACATGCCACATGCTAGCATCGATTAAAGCACAACCGCTCAAGTGCGTCCGCATACCACTGCGCGCACGCCTGCGAAATGATAAGCGCACCCGCTCGAGTGCGCCTGCGTAGCTTCCGTGCAGCACTGCGCACACACGCCTGAAAATGATAAGCACACCGTACCCTTTCAAATGCGTCCGCGCACCCTTGCACACACGCCTGCCAAATGATACGCCCGTTTAAGTGCACACATTTTTTCCGAGTTGTTGGCTGGTTGTTTTTTTGGTGGTCCGCTCTCTTCAGGCGGGGAGTGCCTAGTTGGTCTCACTTCCTAAGTTCCTGACTTTATACTTTTTGGTAAAACCAGTTTGGTAGCAAACACACAGTTTGAGACGTTTGCGGCCAATCCACTCAAAGAGTGAGTTCTCTTCAGTCTTTAGGCATTGGTTGTTATTGTTGTGTAGTGTTGTTTTCGTTTCACATGTGCAGTGTGTTCTCGTGTTGTGGGTTTTCACTGTTGTTGGCAGCTTGTGCATCGTTTGGTGCTTTGATGTATGTTAGTGTTGAGTTCATGCTTTGTTGTTTGATTTATACAGCCAGACACTATGCGATTGATACTACCAAGGTCCTGATATGTTTGACCCATCCATTTCATCCATTTGCTTAAGATGCGTGTTCTTTCCCGTTGGCGTTAAAGGGAAGTGTCAGGATGGCAAATACTGGTTCCCCTTTCCCCCAAGCTGAAGCTTTGTTCTTTGGCTTTGGAGATACCACCTGCGCTTATCATATGCAACAGCGCTGAAAACACACCGCAAGCACGCCCGCAAGGTTGGAAGCCAGGGAGTGCATTTTTTAGCAAACGCAGGAGGATTTGAAGTCCGAACTTTTTCAAGCAATACTTGGGTTGAGGTCTTCTGGATGGATGAATCTCTCTTGACCAGCACTTCAAAGGGTTCTGACAAACCAACCGGCAATCATAGACATATGCCACATGAAATTAGACTGGAAGTTCGCCAAATCCCACCAAACTCATGGTCTGGGCCAACTTGAAGCAATTCCTGTACCTGGTTTCCTTGCGATGTGGAGATGAATGCGCGTGGCTCGATGTTTTTATCCTTTCTGTTGCCTGGGTTGTCTTTGTGGAGGTCTGGGAGCGGACCAGCTTCCAGTACCTAAGGGGAGAGTGTCTGTTGGGGATACCTTTTTCTTGGATTGGTTTAAAGGGACACCACGTGTGTTTCACCATCCCAAACAAAGGGGGTATCCCCTTTTGTTTGACAAATCAATATGTTCAGACTTCATTAGTTGGGGGTCACTATATTACCCTTTGCAGCTGGTTTCAACCTCACCTTTGAATTGCCACTGGCAGAGTTTCCTCTCGTCATGATAAAAAGGGGCACATGCTTGTAGATCCTTACCGGCAAAGCCCATCCTTGTTACTCTCAAAGCCCATGCTTGGGATCCTTACTCTCCAAACCGATCACAGGGGGGACCGCTTTGCCAGGTTGGACGAAGCCACCGCCAACGCCGACCAGGAGAAGGCGTTTGGGTTATGGCGTAACAGTTACGGCTTCCGAACAACCTCCAAAGGTTTCAAGAGGTCCACTGAGGGAAGATCAGGGACCCAAAAGAACTATCCATTTTAAAACATGGGAGTTCACAAACCATAGGTTTGGGGCAAGCTTGCCCAATTGAAAGTTGGAATTTTGAGGGTCCAGGTATATCTTTGTCTTCATATAGTGTCTAGTTTGTGGTTCACCCCTTTTCCCTGGGCAGTTCGGGGGGGTTTTCTCTGGCAAAAGTGCCGATTGTTTCAACGGAAAATCCAGATTGCAAAAAAACGCTTCTGGGAGATTTTCTCACCCAACTGCGTTTTGGTGTAGCTATCTTTACCCACATCTACCAGGAATACCATCTCATCTACGTTCACCTTGGTGTGACTGGAATCACTTCCTGAAGTCCCTAGTCCGCGGTGTAGGACAAATCCACCGCCCGCAAAAGGGCTACTAGTATCCCCGGGTTGATGTATGCGGGGTCAAAGGGAAGCCAAGGTGTTGTTTGCTTTGGGGACCCCCCCAAAATTGTCGATGTCCTTGTGGTTTCCCTCGAACAACCAAGCAGAAAAGCGGGGTGCCAACGCCAAACACGGCGCACACAGCCGGGGTCTTCTCCAACGTTTGGTTCTCATTCTGTTCAACCATCGTTCCTTTCCGAAAACCGGATCCGTTTCCCTGGGTTTCCGGAGGTTTTCTAGAAAGGGGTTCGGATTTTTGGGTTCAGAATGGGCATGGAAGGTAGCCCTAGAATGATAAAGGTCCTTTTCTTGACTCCCTTTTTCCCCTTTTTTTGGTGGCTGCCCCACTAAAATGGTCTTCCCAAAAAAGGGTTCCCTTTTTTCCAGGGTCACTGAACCACTGAGGACTGAGGATCGCAAGACCCGGATTGGAAACGCTTCAGGTAGCACGAGGCCTGAGAGGTCTTCTTGCTTTTTTTTTTCCGAGGCGAACCTCCTGGCGCGGCTGGAGGCGGAGAAGGCGACGCTGCAGAGCCAGCTGCAGGAGGCGGGCGGAAGAACCTCCGCTTATAACTTCCCCAGAACTAGCTCCCCTTGTTGTTTTTTTGCTTTTTTGGGGTCCCTGTGTTTTTCACTAACCAGGCACAAAAGATATTTTTTTGCTGGGGTCCTAATTCCAGCCAAGATGAGGGTCCCGACGGTTCTTGGGCCCTCCAAATGGGTTGTTGAGGTTCTTGAGGAATTGGTTGAAATTCTCTATTGGAGGGTCCGGGGGTCTGCATTGGAACTGTCATGACCCTTAGGGTGCGAGGTTTCCACCTGGAGTCTCCGAATCTGACCGACAAAAATGTTTGGTCATTACCCAAAAGAAAGAAATGGGTCATGCAACCATTTTTGAGGGGTCATGGAGACTCCAGGCATGATGGTTCCAAAAACATGGGCGCCTTTTGCATAGGCTCTGAGGTGGTAACAGCGATGGCTTGAAACTCTGAGTGTGCGAGGTTTCTACGATGATGCTCCAACAAACATGAGCGCTTTTTCTTACGTCCTCTAAGGCTTATGATTTGTTTTGTCCCAGCAGCCGAAAGCTAGGGACTTTTGTTTGCCCAGATAGGCTCCTTAGGGGTGGTTTAGGGGCAGCTTTCAGAGAGGGTTCTGGAGGGTTTCAGGACGTTACCTGGGATGGCGTTTTTGGCGCTTTGCCAAAGGGTCCGAGTAATGTTATCTAACTTCGGATGTTAACGAGGAGGACCGAACGAATCAGGGGTGGCAACCACCTTTTCGTAGGGGAAGGATCTATTTCAGGGGTTCACCCTGACCAGGGGTCCTAGCTGACACCACTTCGATGTTCAACCTAAGGTTATGATTGGGGTGACTGGGGTTGGTTGGCTTACAGATTTCCCACGCCAAGCATTCAACGGCCCTGCATTTGAGGGCCCGTGTTGAGGCAAACCTTCCAATACGGGCTTGGACCCCTCGGAGGGTCCAATGATGCTTACCTCTCAATTCAGGACCCTTCAAACCACCCGGGACAAAGAAAGCCCCCCAAGGGGACCTGCTGCCATTGGCGTGGATTGCATCCAGCCACATGGCCAGACTCGCGGAACAAAACTCGCCGCAACCTTTGTTGCATCTTGCCAAGGGATGCTAGGACTTGAGAACTTTTTGCCATCTCATGGGTTTTCCGTCTTAAACCACTAAAGGTTACCTGGAGTCTCCTTCTGACCCTTTAAAAATGGTTGGTCCTTACCCAAAATACAGGGGTCATGGACCCATTTTCAAAGGGTCATGGAGACTCCAGGTAAACTTTTAGCAGGGCTTCGCAGATTTCGCCTTTCCGTGTCACCTTTGGGTCGCCGGGGTAGCCGGATCGCGACGAGGTGTGCAACGAGAAGCTGCGCCTCAGCGAGGAGAAGGCGGCGAAATCATTCCGAGGGAAGAAACAATTCGAGAGATCATTTTACATTTTTGCTTATTGTGGTTTAGTGATTGAAATCCAACCACGAGCACCCCCCAATGGCTGGCCAATTGCCGGCACATCGATTTTGGGCAAGACGATGTCACTTTATGTCTAAGTGACTGCAAAAGCAATTTGCGATCAAGTATCTTAGTGCAATTTGTGCAATGATACAAGTGACCTTTCAGGGTCCTTTGGAATGGGGTTGCAGGGGAAAGGGGAGAGCAGCAAATTTGAGGTTTGGAGGGCAAGTTTGAGGTTGGGAGGGGTTCTTGATGAGCGTGTCACGGCGTGTCACGGCGTGTCGGGGGTGGCCAATTGCCGGCACATGTACGTTGAACGGTCACTTTTTTGGGATATGAGCGTGTCACCAGCGTGTCGCCCCCCCTCCCCCCCCCCCCCCGCGCGTTGCATGTGCAATGATCATACATGCCAGCCCAAGCCCTCAATTGGATCCCCTCTAGTATCCTGAAGTGACGTTTCAACAAAAGTGACTTTTCACTGCACTTTGATGATGGCAAAACAATATATGTGACTACAAAACCATTTTTAAGCAAGTGCTGGTCAATTGCCGGTACTTCACCCGGGACGCCAATTACCGGCCATCAGGGGGGCCTAGAGATGCCAGACTCCTGTGGATAGACAAAATCCGTTCGCGCCACTTTGAAACCCTTAGAACCATAATGTTTGTTACGGTTTGTGCAGGGGAATCATCAGGGATTTTTAGGTGGTGCAGGATTTCGTCCATCCACAGCAGGTCCCCCAGCAATTGGTGCCCGACCTCTCACCCCTTTTTTGGTTGGGAGGTTCCCCCAACTAAAATAGACTACAGAAGAAGGGTACCCTTATTCTAACCTCCCTACTGGAGGACCTAGCAGACCAACGAAGCACATTCTTGATTCCTTCAGTTTTTTCAGGGGTTTAGGGGGGTTATGGGGTTCAGATTCCTTCCTCTCAGTTTCATTGCTGGAGGGCTGCCTAGCTATCTACATGAACCCATCTAGGATTGAGTGTTCCTAATGGTTCTTGCTCCATGCGCAACCCTGGCCCCATGTAGCACCTTTCAACTTTTGGTTTGAACCCGCAGAAATGCTGAAAACGTTTGGGTTGCTCTGAGCGTTTTGGAGCCTTCACCGGGTTGATCCCCATTTTTGTTTTTTTCTGAGGCAGGGCGTTTGTTGTTCCTTGAAAGAAACCCGGCCCTACCCAAACATGTGCCTGTTTCCCTTGAACAAATCAACAGGCAAAGCAGAGGGCGCTTTTTCTTCCGTGCTTGCGTGGGACATCCACTGGGACGCGGTCAGGGTACTTGGGTCTTTGGCCAAGCTCGTAAGGGGTTAGCCACCTGGATGACAACCCACGAATAGCAAGGTAGCAAGGTTACCCTTCCTCCAACAAACGTAGCACCTGCGGGAGTGTACCTGGAAGATCAGTTTCCTCTGAAAGGAACCCCCTGTGACGGGCCATCTCCCGAGAGTAACTCCACTTAGGGTTTCTTTTGAGTGGGCGATAACCTAGATTGATTGACAACCTGTATAGGCCAATTTCGCATGAGTGTACTGTTAAGCCATTGAAACTGTAAGGTTTGTAATGGCTACTTGTATTTGTCTAGGAGATTCATCATGAACTAGATTGCCAGATGCTGTGAGCCTGGACCCTCAAACTTCCCCACAAACATGGGTTGCTACCCATGGTTGGTGAATATTCCCTCTTTTATGAGTACCTGGAGTGTCACCATTCCAACTCTAAATTGGGTTATTGTCCCTCAATTTATGGTTGGCGAACTCCCTTCTTTTATGGGTAGCTGAGGTTACCAACAACCTGACCCTCAAACTTCCCCCGAAAAATGGGTTGCTACCCCTCAAAACTACTGTGGATGGACAAAATCCTGCACCACTTTGACCATGGGAAACAATTATTGGCTGGTATTTACAGGTCATTCCAGGGTCCCTTAGGTGGTGCGAAATGGATTTCGCAACCATCCACAGTAGCGGTGGGTGACTTCCCTTGTTGCGTAGTTCGAGGTTACCGGTTCCAACTTAATTGCCGTTCCGCGAGTCGAGCCCAAGTCAAGCGAGGCCGCGCTGGCGGAACGCCAGACCTCGGACCTGGCCAAGGCGACGGCAGCTGGACTGACAATTCCATTTGTACCTTCTGATGACAACCCACTTCTAAGTCCCCCATCTTCCTGGAAACTCCGAAGCTAGCTGGAGTCTCCGAGACCCACATCAAAAATGGTTGGTCCTCCGAGACTGACCCTGAAAATAGTGGTTGACCCAAATCAACAATGGCCGGTGATTACCCAAAAGAAAGAAATGGGCTATGACTCCCTTTTTCTAGGGGTCATGGAGACTCCAGGTATACCTGGAGTCTCCGAATCGTTGGTCAATGACCCATTTCTTTCTTTTGGGCAATGACTCACCCCGTGTTTGAAGGGTCAGATTTGGGACTCCCGGTACATTTACCTCCCTCAAACGACCAATTAACAAGATCCTAGGGCCATTGTATTGCAGGTTACCAGCAATGTCCTAGTGTTAACTGTTAGGCTGGGACTGTGGCAAATGGAAGCACCGGGCCTTTAGTAAGCGCGGACAACTTTTGGCTGTCTGAAATGGTCTGCTTGGGGTCCCTTCCCTTGGCCCAGGGATCATGTGAAAAAAAGCTTCCTGGACCTCTCAACATTCCTACCTGTGTTTATTCTAGTGCTACCTTCCATTTCCATTCTTTCCAGTGATCCGGATCTTTCTAGAAAGCCTCCGGAAACCCAGGTGAACGGATCCGGTTTTCGAAAAGAACGATGGTTGGAAAGAATGGGGAATCAACCTTTGAATTTATGGGGTAGTTCGAGGAAGCCAACTGACGGCAAGGGTTTTTCATTTCTCCTTTTTGGCGATCAATGCTGCCAAGTGGATGAATTCTCCGTACAGGCCGCCCAAAAAGCCCAGAAAGGATCGATCCCTCAGAGTGAAAACGATAGACGGGCAACAGGAAGCTGCATTTTTGCGAAGACTCAGGCATTCATGTATGGGTATGGGTCATTCATTTTGAAAAAAGAAAGAACACCAAGGGGACCGCTGGTTTTAGTCCATGTATCCATTTACCAGGGTTCCATGTTGGCAGTTACCTATTTTTGACCCACCGCCCGGGGACTCGGAAGGTCTCGGGGGGGGGGGTTTGCGGCGCGGAGGCGCAGGAGACCTGGGCCGGCGCCTTTGCGCGCGAGCTGCGGGCCTCCCGCGAGCTCCAGCGAGAGGCGCGGGGAAGCGCGCCTCGGGGGGCGCGGCGGGGGGGGGGGGCTTTGGGTGGGGGGGGGGTAGGGTGGGGCGGGGGGGGGGAGCAAGGGGAGGAGGCGTTTCTTGGCGTGGGCCGGGTGAAGTTTGGGAAGAAGCAAATGGACCTTGAGACCACTTTCTGGTTTTCCTGTGGTCAACTTGTTCCTTTGAGTTCTGGGGCCGTTGGGCAAGTGAGGAAGAGCTGCATGGACCCCCCTCCCCAAATGGTGAAATGATCCTTTTATAGCTTCATACTGCGGATGGTTGGAAAGTCCGCGAGTCTCGCACCACGAAATGAAAACATGGCTGAGAAACCATAGCGATTGTTTTTTGGACATCATATCATTCCAGGGCTTCCGAAGGGTAGTTTGAAATAGATTTCGTCCATCCACAGCAGGTGTCCTTTTTGTCAGTTTTGTTAGAAATAGATGGGTTCCACTGCCATGTACCAAAAAAAAAAAAAAAAAAAAAAAAAAAAAAACAGAAAAATAACAAAACAACTATGTCTCCAACCGGTCAATGCAAATGAGTACATCCAGTGGGCATTTCCCTTTTTCTTGGATCAACAGGGGGTGGGCCCTCTAAACACAACTGCCTGTACCACAATGTTGGGTACAAAACCCAGTATTATCTTCACGGTCCCAGCCATCTCCTTAGATTTTTTAGCTTTTGTGGGTTTGGTGGTGATTTCCATTTCGCTCACTAAAAGATTTGTTTTTAGGAGGGGATCTGAGGACAGCCGAGTTAAAGGAATTTTGAGGGTCCAGGAACTTCCAAAGGACGAGTGAATTCCATGTTTTTTCTCCCTGGGAACTGGTTTTTTTTGGATGTCCCAACCAGAAAATAGAAAGCAAAGACGCTGTGGCTTTTTTTTTATCGGCCCAAAATGGTACTCATTTTGACTCTTTGTCCCCGGTGTTGGGTCCCGACCACAACAGTTGCCAGGTGTTGGCTCACATGGTGTTGCGTCCCTTTCATGGCTTGGATCGATCCAGCGTGAGAGATGAGATGGCGTACAATTCCCGGCTATGGGTTCCGGTATGGACCCGAAAGAACTACAATTGAAAAGGGAAAACTCACCAAGTCCTTTTTTTTGGGGGGGGGGCAATAGCCAATTTGCAAGAGAAGTTTGTCTCTTTTTTTGAGGGTTCCGCTTCGGTTTGCAGTTTCGATTCTTGTGCACTGCTTCAAGTGGGAATATGTCCATGCAGGATTAGAGAAAAAGGGGATTGATGGGAGACTACCATCAAAGCAAACTTGGGGATTCAGCCAAGATACTCCTCTACCTGGAGTCTCAATGACCCTCTAAACATGTCATGACCCTTCATTTTTAGGTAATGCCCCCATCTTTTAAGGGTCATGGAGACTCCAGGTACTCTATATAGGGTCCTGTACGAAGAAAGTTCTTACATCTTGCGCTGGCGCGCTTCCTCTTCACGGCAGCCCGAGTTTTCACAGCGAGCGACTAGCTGACTAGCTCTGGCGAACCTCAACATCCAGGTTTGGAGAAGGAAATTCACCAAGTCCATAATTTTAGGGTAATAGCCAATCTGTAAGGGAATTTTGAGCGCCCGGGTTTGCCTTTTTTGGAGGTTGATTATCTATCCGCAAGGGTCGCTGCAGCGCTGGGTATCTTCCAGGAATCTACTTTGGCGGTACACATCGACTCAAAGGGTACCAAGAGACTCTGAAGGCATGCTTGCAGAAAGTATCTTTCCAACGTGGCCCACTGTAGGCTCAATATTTGAGCAGCCGGAAGGGGAATGGCAATTTCAGTGGGCTTAAATTGTCGACCCGGATTCGATCAACAGGGTGGCGAAACTCCCCTCAGAAGTGAGGAATTCAAAGTTCATTGGTTTCGAGTCCCTTACATGCCGGCTATGAAAGTTGTGCGCAAAGCTATTGCCTCAACAGGTTGCAACGGGGAGGATGAAGAAACAGCATATTCTAGACGATGTCCGCATTTCAGCCCAGACCTCCTTGTGCAGGAAGCCACGCGGTTGCAGACATTGGTGAAGTCCGTGTCAGAGAGGCGCGGTCGGATTCGAAAGGCTTGGCTCGATATGTTGGCTATCCACTCAGGAATAAGTGGCCGAATCAGAATCCATGTCGCCCCTGACCAGCACCCCACAACTGCTTTTTGGGCAGCACTTGAAACTTCGGACATGGTGGCTCTCTTCCTGAGTTTATGAACTTTAAACTTTTGGGTTTGGACCATTTTAGTGGCAAAAATACTTGTTTTGGGACCATCCACTCAGCAAGTGAGGTTGCACAAGCAGTTGTTGGGATTGGGGTGCTGGCATGTCTGGCTGTTGGCATGGATGCATCAGGCACACCCTCACCAAAAGATGCCCAAGAGTTTGCTCTAGTGCACCCTTTTTGTTACGGGACCCCACCAAAAATGTGGTTCTCCTTGTGAACCCCTAGAACAGGTATCCTAAAACATGAGCCCGGAGGTTTTCCCAGCCTCATCAACCCATGTCAAAACCAAAAGGAAAGTGGTTGGTTACCCACTACACACGCTTGCCTGGGAACCACTGGGACGGCAAATCAGTTGGGAGCGGGACTCGCTTTTGCCCTACATATGGGCCCGATTCATACATGAGGCCCCACATATGTTTGGTTCATTTTGCTTGGATGTTAGGACTTTAAAGCTTTTTGCCAACTAATGGGTTTTCCGTATTAAACCATCTTTTAGCAGGGGAGCAGATTTTGCAACCGAGATATGGGCTGGCGGTCGAACGATTTATTTCATAGGGAAGTGGGTCAGAAGCAAGTGTTCTCATCCCTCGACACGGGCCCAAACTCAGTTCAGTGGCACCGATTCTCCTGAGTGGTAGATCACCTCACTGCCACAGAACCCACCTGAACATGTCTTTGATTCTCCCCTTTGCCTGGACCCTCCGAATTCCCTTAAAAGCGGTTTATTGCCTCAGTTAGTTCAGTGGCACCAATTATTTTTCCCTTCTCTTGGTGGCTGCCCCACAAAAAATGGTCCAAGCCCCCAAAAAGGTTCCCTTGTTTTTCCAGGGTCACTGAACAAGTGAGCAAATTGTAATTGTAGGACAAACTTTGAAAGGGAAACGCTCTTTGCTGTTGTTTGGTTATTGGCCAGCACAGATTAGTGCAGGGAGAGAACCAGTGAAGTGTGTCCCTCCCCCCCTTTGCTTAAGCTGGCAGTGCCAGATACAGGGATCCCTTGGAAAGGCTTGAGATGTGTACTTTTTCAATTGGTTGTAGTTAGTACCTTGTACTAGGAAAGTAAAGTATAAGAAAATGGTGCGCTAACGAAAAGGAAAATGGAAAGGAAAGTACCCATGCGTACTCTGAAGGAAAATGAGACCTTAGTTTGTCTACTTTGGCTTGTAGAGGGTGAGTACGGGGAGCTAGCAAATGAGCATCCCCCTTGAGCGATTTGTTGATAGGGGGACTGCGATTGCCATTGGTTCTCTCAGCTGTCTTCCTCAGCTTTCCAAAGCTGACCTTTTGACCCTTTGAACTTCTATTTGTGAAGTTTAAAGGGGCGACTTGACCGCCTTGCTCTTGACAGTACTATACAGCTTGTACAGCTTGTCGGGGTTTGCGCTCAGGCAGCCAATTCAACGTCAGGCGCACACGCATCCTGCGCTCCTGCGGCCTGAAGTTGTGGAGCGCATCTCCGTTGCCGCGGGCAACCTTTTCCACTACCTCCGTTGGCGCCCTGAATCTAGCTGTACCCTCCCCATTCTCTTCAGGTATCCTTCTATTCAAACGATAGGCCAAACCCCAGGAAAATAGGTTGTTTCTAAAGAGAACGGTGGGTGAAGAGAATGCGGAATCAAACCCTAGACGGCTGTGTCGCACTATGTCCAACTCCTCTAAAACGGTACCGGCTACTTGGGGACTCTGCTCTCGCACTCTTCTGCATCTCACTCTGATGCACCCAAGCTGCTCCTTCTAAGTGTTGTTTGGTGGAAGGGTAACGGGAGCCCCAGGATTCATAAACGCCTGGTTCGATTGGAATGGCAGTGTCCCGTTTTAGCGGAACTGCTTTACTTTGCGGGGATAGCCCATTGAGCGAAGGGACTACATGGTGTGAACCCCAATAGCTACTACATTCCCCAGAAGATTCCCTTCTGTGGGCACAAGGGGGGTCTCATGTGTGGTGGCTTAGCCGGGGATGATGTGAGCACCTTTTTTGATTTTCAGCAACTTGGCACATTTGGTTTGTACTGCGATTCCATGATATTTAAGGGGCCAAAATACACCCACTTTGTTCTTATCATGGATTGGCTACAAAACGCCCAAACTGTTGGTTTGCGACTCAATTTGCTTTCCCAAAACGTGACTAGAGTCCAGGAACTTACGGAGTGAGAAACATTGGGTAAGACATGCCGATTCCCTTCCGCTTTGTCAGCGTGCCCGCGTCAGGCACGAAGAATCGGAGCGGCAAACCTCGATGCTGCAGGCGGGCAACTGGAATAAGGCAGCGTAAATTTAGGGGGGTGTATTATGCTTGAAAGTGAAAAATGACAGGAACATTTCGCCCCTATCTCGGCGCTCGCTCGCGCGAAAGGGGGGGGGGGGGGGGGTGGGGAGCTGATCAAGGCGCAGCCCGTCTTGTTGGTGCCCGAATCATCTACATGTCCGCAGCCGCCGGCTTCCAAAAGCCCGCAGAAGTTGCTTTTTTTTGTGTGCCTTTTTGTGAAGCTACCCCCAAACAACCACAATATGGTCTAGATTTTTGGCTAGGTGCCCTTTCACCGTTTCTTTTTTGCGGGAGGGTTTCCCTACTGAAATAGACTACAGCAAAAAGGGGACCCTGATTCTAACCTCTCTACTGGCGGACCTAGTGGTGGTGATCTTTTTTGGTTTCCCATGAGAAGCGCACCGGTTCACATGCGCCTTCAGCACTGCGTTCACACCTGCCAAAAATACAATCAATGGGTGTTTAAACAGAACCAATATTTAAGCCAACGTGTGTTTAAGCAACCTCCTTTTTTCACCCTTGTCTTCCATTTGCTTACGAATATGATTGTTGCTCCGCTTTGGACTTAACAGGGAGTCTATCACTGCCGAAAGCATGGTTATTTTTCCCCGGGGACTTAAATTTCCCCAAGCAAGGTTGGCGGCATTGCTACGCGCAGCCAGCCCCGGCCGCTCAGGCGGAGCTAGCGGCGCTGCAGCAGCACTGGCCTAGCTCGCCGCCGCCAAAGGCCCCTTGGGAGACCGAGGACTCGGTGGGGAGCGGGCCAGGAGAAACGGTTTTTTGTGTGATGGGGGTTTGGAGGTACCTAAAACCCTCAAAAAAATCAACTCAAACATGGGTTATAGTTATTGCCTCAACATCATGGTTGGTGAAACACCACTTCTTGGCGGTTCCCAGCGAGTTGTCCGGCTCCTTTAGTTTTCAGTTGCTTTTAGTTGGTTCAGTCGGGGATTTCCATTCAACCCACTAACAGTTAATCTTTTAGCAGGGGATCCGAGACAGCCCAGGAATGGAGGATATTTCCGAGGGCAAGGTTGCTGGCCTCAATGCCCAAACCTCCTTGGCGTTCGCCTGTTTTTTTAGGTTTTCAGGTCTGTTGGTTCTGTTCATGTTTCGTAGGGGGGCTGCAACAAAACAAGTGTTTCGCAAGCATACACAGGGTTGGAAAGGTACCTGGACCCTCCAATTTCCCATAGAAAAGGGACATCACCCCATAATGCTAGGGCAACAACCCAAGTTTAAGGGAGTTTTGAGAGTCCAGGCAAATTCTACTGTGAACGGATCTTTGGAGCATTCCTCAAGGACGCTTCGATGCAGGGAAGCAGGTTTTCCAAAGGTGGTTCCTACAGCATGGAACGAGCACCAAAAACTTATTTTCCAAACCTATCTAAACGAGTTGGCACCCCCCCAAATCCAGGGTCTCTCAAATTCCAACTTAAAAAAAACAGGCTATTGCAACCTTTTATATGTTATTTTATGTTTTATTCGGACCCCGTGGAGTTCAGAGATCCTTACCCTCCCGCGTGGCTCGCTCAAAGCGCTGTGGGCCTTGCAGGCGAGGTGGCCTACGAGCCCTCGCCGCGAGCGCGAGGGCGAAGGCGAAGGCGCGGGCGAGGGATCGAGGGATCGAGGGGTCGAGGATTCCCGGGGGCCAGGAATGGAAACAACATCTTTGAGGGATATCCCTTTTTGGAGGATACCTTTTTTTTTTAAAGATTTGTTTGAGGATACCAATTTTGTGTTGTTTTTTGAAGACACCTTTTTTATGTGTTTGTGTGTGTGTGTTTTTTGTTTTTGGTTCTTTTGATGTGTCCTTTTTCAGATGATACACTTGTTTTTTTTGGTTTTGAAAGGGAACCTAAAGGAAAACCACCATTTGTGGTGGCTTTGATCATGGCTTATTTGGTTTTTTTGGAATGCCGCAATCCCAGTCTATTTGCTTTACATATGGTAGACGCCTTTGAGACCTCAAGAGCAAGTCGGGTAACTATGTGGTATGAGAGCCCCGGTTCCGTACCCCGTATGTTTTCTTGCCGGCCTTTGCCTTCGCTTTTTCTCAGTTGCCTTCCTGGTCAAAAAACAAAAAACAACGGGCGAGGCTTCGCAGACCTGTGGAACATCCGCGAAAATCCGCGAAGCTCCGCGAAGCTCGGGACCCCGAAGACCCCAGAATCCAGCTGCCCAGGCGTGGTCCCAAGGTTCGGCCTTCAGAAAGGTGTGGGGAAAGGATGAATGGGACCAAAACCAAAAACACAGGAGCACCCTTCCTTCCTTCCGTTTTCCCAAGCACTTCGGGTTGCGGCAAAAGAAGATCGTGGTTTTTCGAAAGACACTTTGCTGGTGGTGTTCTGTGAGGCTTATGTGCCGCAGGTGAGACCTTTTTGAGCGGGGGGTGCAGTGGTTGGGACATCTCGTCCATTTTGATTGTACAGAAATGCAAATGTCGGGATGTTCTCTCTAGTTCTACCAGACCTAGACCAAGACCCATCTTGGGTTCTGTTTTGAGCAGTTCTGAATGGAGGGAACCTGATGTGTGCCATGGTCAAATCTCTGAATCCGTGCGCCATGGTCACGCAGATTGTAAATGGTTGTCTAGATTTGCAGGAGGTCGATGAGCGTCCCTACCAGCCCCAAATATTTCGTCCTTTTGGCTGCGTTAGGACATTGGTAAAGTGTCGATTCACCCGAAACCACACAAGGTCCTCCCTGAACTCACCAAGCTGCCACCAATCTTCGGCCTGTGAGCGCAAGGCGGAAGCGATCCGCCATCGCCCAAGGCAAAGCGGCGGGGGTTTGGAGGGCGGCGGGGTAGCGAGTGATGGGAAGGACCCCTCAACTGTTCCTAGCCTGCTTATCCTTATTTGGGTGTGGCTCGAAATCAAAGAGGCAGGACAAACCGCAGGTTGTTTCGTGTTTGGTCCATGTACCAAGGTGCCATCTTGGGTACCTATTTTGACCCACTGCCCTTTCGCTGATTTGGGCATTCCTTGGCTTTAAACCTTAAGAACTCAACAAGCCCTAACCGTTGAACGGGTCGGGTGGTTCCGTCATTCAGGAGGATTCATCGGATCCCAGACAACGGAGCTGGAAGCTTCAGGTAGGAAGCTGGAAACGTACGTCGCTGGGCCCCCAAAAACGAGTCAACAGGGTTGCCCTAGCAAAGGGCTCGAAATGCTTGGCTGAAGGCTCTTACGCGGCTAGGAAGAAGAGCCCGTTCAGCGCGCCGACTTTCTTGAAGCTCTTGTGCTACCTGGACCTTCAAACAAATCCAACTTAAACATGGGTTGCGGCAAAGTTGTGTGGGTGAATTCATTGGTTAGGGTTGTACTCTTTCTCCACCCAAACGAAGAAACAGCGGTAGCTTTCCTGCAAGAGCCAAGGGCCATGGGTTTGGACGCTGATGGCGGGAATGACTTCGGTTTTTTTGGGTGCCGGGAAATATGTCAAACGGCTGCCTGGACCCAAACGAACTACCTATGAAAGAGGGAACAAAGGTAACAACCCGCGCTTAAGTTGGAATTCTGAGGGTTCAGGTGGTGATACCGGCATAGTGGCCAGCAACCCTGAGGGCAGCTCCAACGCCCGAGTCGTGGGAATACGGGTATGTGTATTTTTGTTTGTTGGCTTTTTCAGGCACCTGAGCCCTCAAACTACCCATGAAAAGGATTCGAAATCATTCAAGCAGCAGACATGCCCTATAGAGAGCCCCCTTCAAGAGTTTCCGACCACAATTTTTCTGGATTACTGCCGATAGTTGTTGTCCTCCAATCCACTGTGAGCGAGGTCACTTCTGTGGTCTTGTTTGGCCTTTCCGGGCAACGGAGGGTGGTGTGCTGGGGTGGGCTGGGATGCGGCCAGTGCACCACTCAAACTCTCATACTTCCTAGGTTTGTTGTTGCGCTTGATGCTTCTTATGTGTGAATGCAGCTCAAGCAGCACTTGTGTTTGGGTAGTGGCGGGGTTTGCCCTTTGTCTGGGATGGGTTCTGAAAGTGGATGGGGTCTGAAAGTGCTTCATCCACTTGTTTGGGGGCAACTCTAAAAGCAGTCATGTGGCTATGCTTTTGGTATCCTGGTATCCTCATTTGTTTGAAAGGGAACCCGACAAAGGGAAATTATTTGGTGTCCGTTTCCAGATTCAAAACCACCCGGTGTTTCTGCGCACCTATAGTAGCGAGCTCACCGCGGGGCAATGCGACCACAAACCATTCTGTTTGCTTTGAGGGTATCCTAGTATCCTCATTTGGGCTCTTTCAAAGGGAACCTGGGCAAAAAGCACCTCACTGGTTGGTGAATCGCAGTACGTAGCGTTATTGGCCTTACTTGCCCTCAATTCTCACTGCCCCCACCCCACCCGGGAGGTTTTCAGGTGGGGGTGGTAGGGTCCATGCACGGCAAGGAAGAGCTGCCTCCGGAAGTGAAGCAGCCGGAAGGGGAGGCCGGGACCCGAAAGAAGTTCCAGCTCAAAGATGGGGTGAGTTGCCTGCCCCAAAATTATCAAATTGGTGAATTCCAACTTTATGGGTAGCTCTTTTCTTTCCAAGGAGTCTCCTTCTGACCCTTTTAAATGGTTGATTGTTTCCCAACAAAAAAAAGGTGTTGTGACCCCATTATGAAAGGGTCATAGAGACTCTAGATCACATCTGTGAGCTTTTTGTAGTGGTAAACGAAAAGTCTGGCTCACTGTTGTTTTTCTTTTTGGAAAGACAGTTTTGGCGGCAAGCAAAAGGTTTGGACTTTGTTTGGCCAATCCACTCAGGAAGTGAGTTGAAGGACCCCCCAAAAAAAAGAAAGAAAGAAACGCAAGCCGCATTTCGCTTTGCCCAGGTGATGCCCGGATTTGCACATCCTGTGGAAAAATTGAAGAATTTGCCGAGCCACAATCCCAGGCGTTTAGCGTGAGTAGTCGGGAAGGCACGGGGCTCTGATTGCATCACCCCGAATTGCTTTTTCTTCAAGGAACATACTTCAAGCAGTCCCAAAATCAGCTACCCTTAGGTTCCTCGGGCAAAGGATAACCCAGGGTTGTACACTAATGTTGACCCCAGATTAATCAACCCCAGTTTATGAATACGGGGGTGTTCCCCTCCAAAAGTGATGAAACCCCACAAAACGCAGGGACACCGCCGTATTAATAAACTGGGATTGATTCATCTGGGGTCAACATTACTTTCGCGAATGGGGTCTCGTTTGGCTTGAGGGCGCAACCTCCTTTGATCGGACCGACATCGGCGGATAGTCTGTTGGACCGCTCCTGTCAGGTAGGTGGTGGATATCCCCAATAAAGTTTCCATTCCGTTGGGTTTAGCCTAAAACCCACGGAATGGGGACTTAGCTGGGGATATGATGCAGATATACCTGATAGGCGGACATCCAAAAGCCAGCCCACTGGCTCAATCTCAAGCACTTTCGGTTGAGTGCCTCAGGATTTGAGGTTGGGCCGTTCGGTATTTGAGGTTGGGCGATTTTGGACCCTGAAAAGTCCTCTTCAAACATGTGCTATTGCAACACAAAATTATCCACGGGAAGCAATGCCATCCTGTTTTTATTTTGTGGGAATGGAAGCACTGGGTTATCATGGACTTTCAGGGATGCCCTGACAAAATGGATTTGTATTTGTTTCCAATCCGTTGACAGGCAACAAAAGGTTGTTGCTACCTAAGAGACTCTGAGTGGCCCGCCTGAACCCTCACACCATCCATAAGGAAGGATTGTATTTTGCTAATTTCAGCAGTTGGGGTTGTAATTTGACGGACATTTGTAAGTTGGACACTTTGAGGGTCGAACAATGTATTTGTCAGATCAAGGGGTCCAATAAAAGGGGGGGGGGGCAGCTGAGAGGCGCAAACTGAGACGGAGCCGGAGGGCGAGTTCTTCCCCCAGGCAAGAGGAAGAGTCGAACGCGCGCTCGCGGGTAGCTGGGGTTCAAGAAGATCCGCAACTGGTGATTTCCATTTGCACCCGAAGAAATTCCAAGCTGGTTTTGCACCTAGGTGTCCTTGTTTTGCTTAAAAAATAGAAGGCCCTGGTTTACCTGGTGGTTCAATCGTCTACCAGGGCCATCTATTTTCCAAAAAGGACACCTATGGTTTTGCAGGATCTCCCGTAGACCTTGCCGTCCTTCAAACATCAAAAGGAACATGAATCGAAGGTGCCTATAGTGTCTTGCCACGCCTGGGATCCCTTTCAGGTTTCTGCTCTGCTGATCCGGCCTCGCGCTTTAAAGCTCCATGTAAAGCTGCAGAGAACCCCAGCTAGATGCCCTTTCTCACCAACTCTTTTGGTTGGGAGGGTTCCCCTTTTTTAGCCTGCTAGGACATGCCTGTGCTGATAGCCGCATGGGTTGGGATCTCAAAAATAGACTACGGAAAACGTTGGTGAGCATCACCCCCTAAAGGGAGCACGCCGGCAAAAGCTGAAAGGTGACCCTTGAGGTGACCCTTGAGAGCCTTGTTAACCTCTTTAGCTTACAGTGTTTGGGGGATGTTTGGGGGTTTTGGTTTGTAGAGCAATAGAAAAGCATGCCTTGATGGTAGGCTTGGATGCGGCTGCTGAATGGGCCGAATATCCGATGGGCAGACACCTTTCAAACAAGTGGACAAGGAGGTGTCCGAAGTGGAAAGTAGTCTTCTAACACCTTCTGGAGGGGTGGAAGCCCGGTAAAGTTAACTACCAAAACGACACTAAAAAACAATGGTGTCAACCATGGTTTCATTTCGCGGTGCGAAATGGATATTGTTCCTGCACCCACAAACGACCAATAAAAGTTGGAATTCACCAACCATCCTTTATGGTTGCAAAACCCATTTTCGAAGTGAATCTAGCACCCCATGTGAGCGGTTAATATCCCCGGTTGTATGATGAGTTCCCCAGGATCAAGCCGCACCCGCTTCGGTTTCAAGTTGGATTTTTAAGAAATGTTGAAAGTATAAACCACCCACTAAAAAGTCGGCATTCTCACCAATTGTCAAAATGTGTTTTCACCACTTCCAGAATTTCGGGTTGCCGAACAGGGTCCGGGTGGCGTGGGGGTGTCTTTTTCATAGCCCCTCACCCCCTTCCCCGGGAGTTGAGCCAGGGGCGCGACCGGAGAGATCTACCGCGCCTGGGACTGCCGAGGCGTGCCTGCGCTGGACCCGACAGAGAACTACCCGAAACGGAAAGGGCTACCCGAAGTCTCCGAATCTGACCCCTAGAAAAAGGGGTCATGACCCAAATGGTCAGAAGGAGACTCCAGGTACCTTGGAGAAATGGGGTGAAATCCTTTTTTTAATTTGGAATTGTGAGGGTTTGCTACCTCATTTTGTTGGGTTGCAAAGGCGGATTTTTCAGTTGGAATTTGAAACTATGGTTGGTGATTTCCCCTTTTTTAATGGGTAGCGTGCCCCCAAAAAATCACCCCCAAAAAGAAGGAGGGGGGGAGACGGGCTCACTATGATATACCTGGACCCTCTGGAAAAAAGGGAGTTCGGCAACCCGCCAACCATCACTTTGGGTTGCAAGAACAGAACACATTTTGGAAGGGAAGTTTGAGGGTCCAGGTATCTTTTTAGGATTGGGACCCCCCACAATGGCTGTGCTGCTGTTGAATTCGCTTTGAAACCACAAGCAAGGGGTATAAGGGGTGCCTCAAAAAAGAGACACCCAAATGAGGCAAACACATACTCAGTTCTTCGGGTCCACTTCGACTAAAGGTCCCAAAAGAATTAGCCTGTTATTTCTAAGTTCTTTTGGCAACCGAGTATATATATATATACATGGGTATGGGTAAAAATAGGGGGATTCCCACAAATGGGCTTCGGTTTCCCTTCTCTTTCCTTTAAACCAACCCCAAAGGTTTGGTTTCTATGCCAAGGGGTGAGGAACCGACGGTGCCAGGAGATATCCGGAGATGCCGGCCACCCAGAGGGCGCAGAGGCAGAGAGAGCAGACTCCGTGAGAACTCTGCCCGGTTTGAACTTGAGGGAAGCATCAAAACCGAGTACCTGGAGCATGGTTGTCGTTGGGAAACATTTTATATTTTTGCTTATTGTGGTTTAGTGGGAAATCCCCACTTGACTGCTAAAATTTATAATTTTGCTCCCCTTCCAACGTCAACCAAGGGAGTGTCCCTTTGACCCCTAGAAAGCTGGTTGGCCATTCCCCAAAGAAATGGGCCGTGCGCCCAGTTTTTCTTGAGTCATGGAGACTCCAGGTAGAAGATTGTTCCACGCCTTCCTGTGCCGCTCGTTGCCTTTACTAGATCCCTGTAAAGGGACAAGGTGATTAGGGTTGAGTTGTTTCTTGGACCCTGCCAACCACCCGCCAAAGACCCTCGACGAAGGATGTACTAGGGGGGGGAAATGCCGAAAAAGATAGGCACCTGAACAATGCTTTTTTTAAGTACACTTGCTGCCCAGCCCTGGCAATTGCACCAGGGGTGACAGTAGATGGCACAGTTTCAGTTTGGTCTGGAAGCAAGAGTCGGTAAGCACAACCCAACTACATTTCCCCCCAAACCCCGGGCGCCCCCGTCTTGTTCAGCAACCAGCTTTATGGCTACGCTGACCCATGCCAACTGAATTGACTTGGGAAGGCCCTATCATGGTTCACACATTTGTGGTTGAACCCATGTTCAGTGCTTCCAATTGCCACTGTAGACTTTACAGGGTTGGTTACCTCTAGGCTTTACGCGGTACAACCTGGCTAAATCTGGTACCTCCTCCAAAACTATGTTATGTGTTGGGGAAGACAAAATATCGGTGTGGCTCAAAACTAACGAGCTGGCCCTTTTTACCCCCCCAAAAGCCATTCGTCATGAGGTACTTGGACGGGGGGCGGGAAGGGAGTATACCCCCGGTATACCCTTAAACCTCAAAATGATTAGGTGTTCGGGTTCAGCTACCCCAAATGTTCCGGGTGCGCGGGGGGGGGGGGGGGGTCATGGGAGGGGGCCCTTTCCGAGGTGGTCGCCCTCCTTCAAGGATTTGGCTGAGGCGCGGGGCCGCGGGGGAGTGGTTTCAGGCGCCTAGGGTGTGCCCGCAGGTACAGCAAGGGCTTGGTGAACTGTTCTGGCCATGCTTTTGCTTTTCCTTTAAACCCAAGAAGCACAGGGTGACCCCCCCAAAAAAAGCCTAGCCATGGGCCATGGGGTGTCAAAAAATTGGGGGTACACCAAAATGGCGGGTTTTCCTGTTTCTTTCCCTTGAAACCCAAAAAGGACAGGGTGATCCCCCCCAAAAAAGGACCAGCCATGTTGCTAGAACTAAATGTCAGCTCGGGTGAAACGTGTGCTGCTCGCTTGGGCAGCTTACACGCCTCTCCCCGCTCGCTTCTCGGTGGGTAAAAGGGGTAGGACTGCTTGAGGGTTCCACCGGAAAGAACTACCTGGAGTCTCCTGCTGACCCTGAAAAGAAGGGGTCACGACCCAAAATAATGTGGGTCATGGGCCCATTTTTCAAGGGGTCATGGAGACTCCAGGTATACCCAAAAACCAGGAAGTTCACCGATTCCATAATTGTTTGGTTGCAACAGCCAATCTTCATATGTTGGGATTTTGAGGGTCCAGATGCCTTAAAGAGGGGATTTGCTGAATATTGACCACTGTCAAGCACAGCATGTTTGTGCGGAAACAAAGGCTGGGGTTGTGTGGCATCCCCTTAAGGATTCAATACGCCAGGGCGCCGTGAATTTGGGGCGAACATTTTGGGACGAGTAAAACCAACTTAAAAAAAGGGCTCCCTTAAACACAGACCCAACTTCGGTGCGCCTTTGATCCGCTCCTGACCCCGAAGCCTTGAAGGAGAAAAACCAGACACCCCAAGGGTGCAATTCGATGGGTTTTTTGGGCCCTCAGCGGTTGTTTCAAGGGCCCCTGAGGAATTGCTCGGGGTCCTTGAGACCCGGAAAAGTCTGCATTGGACACAACATATGGGGATCCTTAGGGTACATTCTAGGGGTTGTTTCCCCATTCTTTCCAACCATCGTTCTGTTCGAAATTCAGCCGTTTTCCCCGGATTGTGGAGGTTTCTGGAAAGAAGGATCCCTGGAAAGAATGGGAGAGGTACCCCTGGATGCATTGGAAAAAATCTGGGGACCCGCAGGGTACAGGAGTTGTAGTTGCCCATTCGGCCTCCCCGCTTCAGGCGCCCTCTGGCCAGTGGGAGCACGAGCCAGGGTGCCTGAGAAAGAAACCTTACACAAAAGGGGGGTGTGCAGGGGTGGGTGGCGGGCCCCTCAAAAGCGGAATTGGGGGAGGGAGGTGACCCCTACTCCCTCCCCCCTAAGCCTCCCCCCTAAGGGGGATGTAGAGGGGATGTTGGGGGGAGGGTTTGAGCCAAGGGTTCGGAGGCAGCCGCCGCCAGTCCGGGCTTTCTGCCTTAACTTTTCTCCTACCTCTCAACCGAGTGATCTTTCTCAACGAACTCCGAACTCAACGAAATGAGATGATTCCCCCCTATAAGTGCCAACAATCAATATTGATTAGTGGCTCAACCATGGTTTCAACGTGGTGCGAAATGGATTTCATCCATCCACAGCAGAACGGGCTTTGTGAGGTGGGTTATGGTGGGTTGTTTGAAGCTGTGCAGCTTATGTACCATTTCAGCAACCGCAGGAACACATGGTTGAATGGTTGGGTGCTCCTAGCTCGTTCTCCAACCCTGAACCCGTTTGGCCTCGTTTCCAACTCCGCTGTGCTTGTGATCGCAACCACCATGCTTCACCTCGTTTTACTGTAAAGCAAAATTATGGCCAAATTAAGGCCAAATTAAGGCCGGATTAAGGCCAAATTAAGACCAAATTAAGGCCAAACTAGCGCAAATGCCTATGGGATTTTGGTTTAAGCACAATTAAGGCCAAATTAAGGCCAGATTAAGGTCAAATTAAGGCCAAATTAAGGCCAAATTAGCGCAAATGCCTATGGGATTTGGGCTCAAGCAAAATTAAGGCCAAACTAAGGCCAAATTAGGGTCAAATTAAGGCCAAATTAAGGCCAAATTAAGTCCAGATTGGCACACATGCCTAGTGCAGCAAACATATGGCTCGAAATAAGGCAAGAGTAAGGCAATCGTAAAGCCCAATTCAAGGGAACACTGAAAGCGCGCCTAGGGAATTTGAAGAAACAGAAACTGAAAGCCAAACTGAAGTAACATGAAATCCAATCGGCGGGCGGGTTGGCTACCGAGCGCCGATGGCTTCAGGAAGTTGCTTCAAAAAATAGCCCCTAATAAGCCCTAATCAGCCCTTATTCATTTTGGGGGGGTGGTTCAAAGGGGGGCTGATTTGGAAACTATGAAAATTATTTAGTGTGCTTTCTACACAAGACATGTCTCCGCCCGTCTCTCAATGTGGTCTTCTGCAACTAGGTCCCCCAGTAGTGCCCTTTTACCGTTTCTTTTTGGGGGGAGGGTTCCCCTACTAAAATAGACAAAACCGAAAAAAAAGGGGATACCCTTATTCTATCCTCTCTACTGGAGAGCCTAAGTAAATAAAGGCAGTCGCTCATTCGTGTTTTCTCTGAGTGGGCAGAGAAAAAATTGGGCTTTTGGGCCAGCAGGACTCTGCCGATACCGTCGGATGAGGCCCCAAGAGCATATGGCCGTTGTTGAGTCAAAGGCCGTGTGGATGGTTGCAAAGTCCATTTCGCACCACGAAATGAAACCATGGGAAGCTACTGTTTGTTGGTATTTGCAGGGGAATCATCATTCAAGGGTGTCTCAGGTGGTTTTCGAAATGGATTTCGCAACCATCCACAGTATGACCTGTCGCATGGCCAGGTGCCAGGGTGGCCAAAAAGGAACCGAATGGGGATAGGTACCTTTCAACCACTTTTTGGTATCTTGATTTGGGTGTGGGTCGAAACCATTTTGGGATCCCATTTTGGTTGGTGAATTCACCACCCACTTTAGAACCTATTTTAGTGGTTGGGTTGGGATGTTCACTGGGGGCACGATTTGGATTTTGACCCATGGCTATATACCTCCGCCAAATAAATAGGGCAAGTTGCTTTTCCTCAACATTCCCTCAAAACTGGGGTTATTGCAACCCAGAATTATGCCTGGATTCTTCATGACCCTTCCCCCTTATTGTGGGTAACGACCCCATTTCTTAAGGGTCATGGAGACTCCAGCTAATTGGTGAATGCCCGTTTTTATGGGTAGTTCTTTTGGGAGGAAGTTGGTTGCCCCTGCCTCCCTTTGTGACTCATGACTTTCCAGCTGCGAAAGACGGCTAAGTCGAGGAAGCCTTAAGTCGAGGAAGTCGATTCTAGGTCCCCCAGCTAGGTCCCGACCTCTCACCCCTTTTTTGGTTGCGAAGGTTCCCCCACTAAAATAGAGTACAGAAAAAGGGTACCCTTATTCTAACCTCTCTACTACAGGACCAAGAATTGGACAAGTTCTTCTGGAAAGGTAAAGAGAGGGTTCATCTGGCCAACAAAGGCTTCACATTCAGGGCTGGGCCAACCCGGGTGAAACCGTGATTCGAACCACTTCTGCTATGCGCAACTTCCTGTTGGTTTCCCTTTTTTGGTTTTCCTCGTAGCATCTTCAAAGTGTTCGTAGGCTTCCGTCCATAGGTAACAAGGGGTACCCTGAGACTAGGTTCAACTGGGCTTGAGCTCTCTCAGCTTAAAGCCTAAGGCGGTCTTCTGCCTCATGGGTTAATTTATGTTGACCCCAGCTTCACTTGGTTGGCCAGAAAAAGAAACAAGACATGTTGCTTGCCACCAAAAAGTGTCATCCAACAAGTGACTAAAGTTCAGCTACCAGTTGGTGGCGCGGGCTTAATGTTGACCCCATATTCATTATGAATAGGGGGGTGTGAACCTGGGTGAAATGTGGGGAATTTGGCCACTTTGGAGGGGAACGCTCCCATATTAACTTGGTTAGCCATCCGGTTCCTTAGCTTTTCAGCCTTTTAGTGTTTAGTGGGGTTTTCCTTTTCGCCCACTGAAAGCCAAACTTTTCGCGGGGGATCTGAGGACAGCTCACTTAAACTGGGGTTGATGAATGGATCAACCCCTTGGAGCCCCTCGTTCCCTTGGCTTCTTGAACGCCTGCGCCGAGGTACGTCGAGGGCTCGTCTGGCCTGGCTTGAATGTTTCCTTGGAATTCTTGGCTGTCTCAGTGGCTCTTGCCCAAGTTGCAGGGACGCTAAAAACAACTTCTGAACGAGTTCCCTGAAGGGAGACACTGGGGTTCAGTTGCCATCATTAAAACGATGGTTGGGTTCATATTTCACCGCCATTATTTACCTGAGGATTCTCATCATCTGAATTAGGTTGACATTTGTTGTAACGGGGAATGAACCCCAGGCCGAAGGGTTGGCGAGTCTTAAGGACACAAAATCAGTTCAAGTTTTGGCACCAACTGAGGCCTCACTTTGGTGCTGTGGTGCGCACTGTCTTTCAGGATGGTTGCGAAATGTCATTACCCAAAATAATGGGGTCATTGACCCATTTTTGAAAGGGTCATGGGTTGCAAAGACGCACACAAAACCCGTCGGATTTTTGCCGAAGGTTTCGAACCTTCAAAGGCGGCCGGCTTGGCCCGTTTTTGGGCGCTCGATTTGGGTCCCTCGCACGTGCTTCCTGGTGGATTGACGAGTCATCCATTTCGCACCTAATGAAGTCATGGGAATGAAACGTAAACTTGGGGAATCGAATCACTCCCTTGGGTTTCTGAGTTCGGTGGTGCGAAATGGCCCATTTGTTAAGGGTCATGGAGACTCCAGGAAGACGTTTTTGCATGACAACAAACATCAGACAAACAAAAACCAATCACACACATGGGGTGAGCTACCCGAAAGGGGTCATGACCCCATGTTTAAAGGCTCATGGAAATTGCACCCTGGGGTTAAAACCACCATTAAAACAATGTTCATATAACCACCATGATTTACCTAAGGAGTGGAGTGTCATCATCCAAATGGGGCCCGTGCTATTCTTTTTATGGTAGGGTGCAGGTTGCGTGGCTGGGAGGGTGATTGCCAGGCTGAGGAGCCTCTCCAGCGGCCGGCGTGTGGGCGAGCT